ACGGCGGTGCCAGTCGCGGACAATAAACAGCAAAAAAAGGCACAAAAAGCGACTGCATGTAAACACCAGTGCTGTCCGCGGTGCTGATCCCAGATCGGCGTGGCTAGCAGAGGCTGTGCTGCTCCGCGGTCGCTCCACCGCTGATCAATGATTGAACTGAACAAAGGCAGAAGAGGGATCAATTTCTAATAACTATCAATGCAAACACCGCTAGCTTTCGTCTCACATTCGCCCAAAACGAAGTAACGCACACTGGAGCACAGTAACAAGACGTACCGCTGGAAAAATAAGCTAAGAAAGGGGAGGATAGCACTAACCTGAAGCCGCCGTAGATCAAATTTCTTCCAATATTGAAACATCGATCCTACATCGGCGGCCATCTTGGGGGATATTGAGGAAATTTTTTTCAGCGGCTGCAATAAATATGTGGGCTGGATTCCCCCTCGTTAAACAACGTTTCCGACCGCAGGTCCCACTTTTAAAAAAAAGTAAGGAACAGACTTGACACGACGGTCCACCGATATGTTTGACAAGTCTGCCAACATCTTTTTGTAAAAGTAAGAAGGAAAGAAGTAGATATTTGTTGGCGAACTGCCCGGGTCTCTAAAAGTAAAGAGCAAGTGTATCCGTGCCTCCGTCCCCAACATTAACTGGACAATTGCACTTGATTTTGCTTTGGCAAAGTTATCAATACTGACGTAAAGCCCGCGGTTGATCGATACCGTCTAGAAAGGGAAAGGAGATGATGTGTAGATTAGTGGACTTGAGGGAATTTAGCCAAGCCTACTTTTTTTTAGCGTGTTTATTACAGGAGCGCATGGGACAGTAAAAGTAGAGATTAAAGTAGGTTAAATTATCAACATGGCTAGTCTCTTATTAAAATACCACTTAGTCCACATGTCGTTTTATGCAAATTAGATGTTGAACTCTACGTCCATGATTTTAAAGCACGTTTAACATCAATACTCAAAATTTCATGTAATATTCTGCGCATCTCATTTTGCCAATAACGACTTTTACACTACTCTACATAAATTGAAGTGATTGAATTAGTCTGTATTATTTTACACCGTTCAAAACCCCCTTTACCTGCTATAGCCAGACAATAGGCTATTACTTTTTTTAACCAAATTTAACATTTCTTATGTTCTGTTCTGATATTTTATTTATTTATTTATTTTGGGGGGATTTTTGTGGATCTTGTGTACAGTGAAAGGCTGTGGCCGTATTATAATTGTGTATTCACATTGATAAAAACGCTCAGAAATATAAAACGATGCATGCATACAATATAAAACCATAAAATATGCTTTTGGACCAAACACTGTCTTTATGAAATTGCCAAACAGGATTTAATGGCAGCAATGTTATAATCAGATAGAAACTGTCACAGGTCTTACTTTGTCTAATTTAATAAAGCTTGAGGCTGCTCTTTGTCTACTCAGTCGAAGTGGTTCCTCTGGTCAGGGTGCACAGGTAGGCTGCTGTAATGCTCCAACACTGGTGCCAGGTGCTCCCCCTGCTGATATCGCATTGTTAGATCCAAGATTGTGTGTTTTGTGTGATTAACTTCATTAATTAAACCATTACCACTGAGAGAAGGTATCCGTCAAAACCAGTGTTTTAATGCACATGCCACCTTCAGAGCACCGTGCACCAGCCTCACAGTGTACAGTAGCATCTAGCTGATATCCCTTATGAAAATCGGTCCCAGGCAGAAAATCATTTCCTCATGAGTACTATTCTTAGACCTGCTGGGAACAATGGCATATTCCTCTGCCATAGACAAACACCTAAAGGAAAAATGAAGGGAAGATTATTAAAAGTTTTGCTTATTGCATTTTATTTGTGGCTCTAGGGTGAGGCTAAGATGCTGAGTTCACATATGATAGGCAAGATGGTGATCAGACAACAAGTGTTCATAGTCGAGGGTAGTTTTTCTTTTTGAAACATCCTTCATCACAAATTAAGCATTTATGCTAGTTGAGTAAAGAATTCAACTTATTTTATAATTTACTGATTGTTTCCTTATATAACATAACTCTCTGAGATACACACTTCAGGGGCAGGGTCAGTTGGACTGAAGCCCAAAGCTCTGTTCCAGGACACTTCACAGCACATTCTGTTTTTCAGTCTTTAACCTTGTCTCCCAAAAGCACATCTTGCTCAAACCAAAAAAAAAACCTCTCTTTTCACCAGCAGACCCAACAAGGTGTTTGTAATCACAGACATTTTCAGATGCCAGATACGAACAGTGTGTCCTGGCTCAACAGGAATGTAGAGCAGCCAGGCTCTGTGGGGACCCAGGTGGGACTTACACCCACAGTCTCCACTTCCAGATGCTAATGCTTTGCCTGTTGGGCTCCTGTATACACATTCAGCATTATGAAAAACTGCTGAATCTCATGGCCTCAGTCAGTTCTGGACTTCTGAATGTAATCTTGACCTCACATTCTCCGCTGTCATCAACAAATCATCGTGGGCTTCTTCCAGTAACCTTGTCACCTCGTTCAAATTAACACATTCTTCTGAAAAGGCTTAATTTGTGATGAAAGAGTCATGCACGATGACGTAAAAAGAGCACTGTGCACACAGACGGGCAGTGGTGGAAGAAGTACTCAGATCCCTTACTTAAGTAAAAGTAGCAGTACAACATTGTAAAAATCCTCTGTTACAAGTCCTACATTCAAAATATTACTTAAGCAGAAGTACAAAAGTATTAGCATCAAAACATACTTAAAGTACTAAAAGTATTCATTATGCAGAATGGCACATTTCACATTATATTATTGTTATAATTACTGATGCATTATTGTGTTCATCACATTTAATGTTGCAGCTGCTAAAGGAGGAGCTAGTGTTAACTGTCCTATATGGATTTAATTTGAATTACTGCTGGGTAGCCTGTGAATTTACCTCCAAAGATCAATGAGGTCTTGTAATTATACTGTATTTTTGTATTAATCTGGTTCTGAAAAGTAACTACTAACTACAGTTATAAAATAAATGTAGTGGAGTAAAAAGTACAATATTTGCCTCTAAAATGTAATGAAGTCAAAGTATGAAGTAACAGGAAATAAAATACTGAAACGTCATAATTGTACCTAAGTACAATACTTAAGTAAATGTACGTAGTTACGTTCTACCACTGCAGAAGGGAACTCATCCAGGAGCATGAAGATGGTTGTTTTGATGAGGTCAATCAATGAGGAATTTGAATGGCTGTTTCTTTGAAAATGCTAACACTGTATTTAATAAACTGACATATTGTTGAATAGTGACAGCAGCCTCCTTGAGCTTCTTTGGGGATTTATGGGGGTACAGTAAAAAGAACCACCTAAACCACACTGCTATAAAAATATATATCCTATGTCTTGCTTATTTATGTCTATAGCAACCACAGCTAACGTTACAATCAGACCCCTTGTCCCTGTTGTCCTAGAGGATACATACTGTCCTCTTATCTCCACTGTGACAGTAATCACCAGGACAGAGATTAATTTTTGAACAGCCTGACACTGTTTCAAAGACCTTAGCATCCTGACTGGTAGACTGGTGTGATCATAATCCCTTTATTTTTACTCTGTGTAAATGTTTTACCACTTTAGTTACTTTTTACCTTTACCTTTTCAACCCTTATTTAACCAAATAAGTGACTTAAAGCAAAATAGAATGATGGCTGGCCAAAATGTGAAAGGTCCCTGCTTTGACTGAGCACACTCACACCTAAACAAGAGCAAGGTTAATTGTACGTAATTAATTAATTATATGTATTTCAGCAATCTTTTATTAAACTCCCTTCAGCCTTGTAAAAGTATTATTTACAGTGCGAACCTGGAGTCTGTCAAGAGAGAGCATCACATTTTAATGCAAAAAGCAGAACTGAAGACAGTGTGTATGTTTAATGTGTTACAGGTTACAGTCTATAGGTTATACAGAACATCATATTTTTACATTCCCCTCACAAATACAACAATGTCCTATGTAACACGATGTAACTGCATCTGCACTTTGACTGTATTAAAATAATACATCAATGGGAGGGTGATTAGTGGACCATATAAATGTTTAATGAAATATTCATTAAGAAATGTGATAATGTCTTGCTATTTTTATGAATAGAAATTCTGTCAACATAATTAAATCCTTAATTTGATGCTTGATGCAGATGAATTCTAAAGTGACTTTATTGGAACTAAATCTACAACACGCTAAGAAAACTATTTCTATGAATAAAAATCAAATTGAGTATTTATGTCAAATCAGCTGTAGACAACAGCGAGTTGATTCAGTGTTGCCGAGAATGAGTTAACATCAGCTTTCATTGGTAACTTAGGTGTTGAATGCCGTGGCTTGCTAGCACTACCTACTGGGCAAGATAGGTAAATGAATGCTCAAAGAAATAAAGGAGGAGTTCTCAGTGTGGACAAAATATGAACTCCACTCCACATGTCCCAAATGTTCGTGCGTACTATTAAACCGGTCCATGTTTGTTCTCATGCTTCAGTACAGGCTTAAAATCTGTCACTGTTGGTTTGCTGTTAAACTTTTGCACATCAAGCATTTTGTCAAAGCACAGGTGGAAAATACAATGAGGCCGTGACCCATTGTGCACAGTATCGGGGCCCTGTTACTGGAATCTCCAATTGTAGTGCAGCCTTATTTAAAGTTATTGATTACACATGTGACTTTCATGCTATGACCTATCAAAGTATTTGCTGTGAAAGAGGTCACAGGCATTACACTAAAAATTTATATTTTTAGAAAAAAAAATTAAAATCAACTGGTCAAGTAGGAGCTAATCAACTTGAATAGCTGAACAATTATTGTTCATTTCCAAAAGTTAATTGCTGGACCCTTCACTGTAAAGTCCATTTCAGTATGTAATTATACTGGAGATTTCAGTTTTCCACATCATACTTGTGTGATTTACATACTGGACCACTACTGGCTGCCAGACTAGGTGTGATCATGTCACAGTGTCATGCTGGCACATTCATGTGTTAAACTGAGAGCTGAGGTGAGAACAGGGCAACTCTCCCCCTTCCGCAGACGAAGGTGCAAACAGACTCCCAGTGTCAAACTTTGCATATACACCAGTTTGCACAGTGCAGCGCAAGCTTCCAGGTGAAGTAACAGTAAATAAATCATGTTTCTTAGTGGAGGAGGACTTTAAACATGTTAATTGTGAATTGTGAGTGTGCTATGTTGATGTAGTTATGTATGAAGATGTGGATGGTAGTGATTGCATTCTATTTAAAGGTACAGTGCTGCTTTTATGCATGTGTTGGATTATGTACTGTATAACCCTGTGAAAGACTGGCAACCTGTCCAGGGTGCATTCTCTCTCCCAGTAACAGCTGGGGTCAGATCCACCCCCTCACAACCCTCCACGAGACTGGAAAAAAAGAAAGTCTACTAAGCTGTTTAAGACATAAACATAGCTAACACTATCTCAACTTGTTTGGTTTAATAAATGGAAAATGACTGTCTATAGCACTGTAATAAGAGAATAACTAAACAACAATGTTTGTTAAATATCTCATGTGAACAACTCTTCCCGCCAGTTTCCTGGGGCTCAGAAGGCCTTAGCTAACAGTTCTGGTCACTGTGCTACCAAGTAACTGTTCCTATCAGAGCATAGCTTCGGTCCCTGTGGAGCACTAACAGGACAGCTGGATGACGAGTCACATCATACACAAATGTCAGTCACAAATACAACTGTCCTTCCTGAGCCAAAGCTATGTCCTGTAGTTATTCTTGGGTCTGGGGTATGTGTTTGGCTATTGTCACTAAAGCTCATGAACTCTAACAATGGTGGCTGGTGGCAAAGATGGAATGGTCTTCTTTGTCTGGGTCTCTGCCTAAAGAAGGCATGGAGTATTTATAACCCATAAGCATGCACCATTATAGTGGGTAGACGAGTCACTATATCTACCCCTTGATTACTGTGCCACTCCATCATAAAGCAGCACCGGTACTGCCTAGTCCTCATCTAGCTACCACTGCAATATGGTGAGTGGACACGGATTTCATTGTCACTGTATTTCATCTTGTTTAGTGTAGCACCAGACTGTAGGAGACATTCTGTTTCTGCTGCATGGTTACTGTGTTAATATTGTATAATATATATAGTGTATACTGTGTAATATACTGTCATGGAATGTTTTGATGAATTACACATCTTGCTCTACTCAGACCAATGATAACCAATCAATACAGTCTATGTCAATATGCTTATGGAGACTAAATGATGATTAAAAAAAACATCAATAGGACAGTGCCTCGGTTGTCCTATTGATGACTTATGGACTTTTATGCATTCACAATAATGGCAATTCTAAAGGAAAAACTATATTCATTACTAATTTTAGTATGGAGAGGAAAGGAAAGGAAACCAGAGGAGGAGAAAGGGGGGAAAGAGCAAATGAAGCAAGGAGAGGAGAGAGGGAGACAAGATGAGAGGAGGCGACAGGAGAGGAGAAGACACAACGAGACGAGATGAGAGGAAAGCAAAAGCGAGGAAACACTAAGAGGAAAGGAGAGGAGAAATAAGGAAACAATGAGAAGTAAAGAGCAGCAACAGGTGCATGCTACAAACAGGTCAAGAATAACTTAATGTGTTATTTTGAACAGTTGGTGCCCTCTTGATCACAACTGGGCACCATCAAGAAATAACTAGTTCTGCCTCATGTCCCCTGATTGCTCTTTAAACAAACTAGAGAAATAAATGCAGCCGAACACTGCAGAGGCCCTGCCCATGAGATATAGAAATGCTTGAGAGTTAATCCACAACAAGGTTAGACGGCAGCTGTAGAGAGGCCCGTGAATCCAAGCGACATGATGTCATCACACCGCATCCCCTTACACTGTTTTTCACAATTCCTGGGCAGTCATGTAAATAGCTCGGCATAATCCTTGCGTCTGAGGGATCTCTGGTCAAACAGGGCCCAGTGTACCATCCTGTCATCACCCAGGCACCATAGAATAATCCCTCATATGATCCTGGGACTGTGGGGGTGTGGACAGCGGACCGCGGACCACCCCCCCACAGTCTCTTTTTTGCATTCTCACAAAACCAGAGGCTGAGTAAATATTTCCATAACAAATCGACAGTGTTTGTAATCCTTCCTAATGAAATGCATGCATGCAATTAATGCAAGCACACTCTGTAAGTTTGCTGATCACTGGCTTGTTATCATAAGCGCATGTGTCACAGTAAAACCGATAATGAGTGAAGCTGAAGCAGAGAGCCAGGTGATGATTGTGCCATCAGTATTGGATCTAATTAGAGTGTCACTGTCGAATCCTGCAGGCACCCAAGAAAGCAAAGAGGAGAGCAGAGGGAGGCGGCTCTAATGTCTTCTCCATGTTTGAACAGGCCCAGATCCAGGAGTTCAAAGAAGTAAGTGCTCTGGCAAATGTTCTCTTTCACACTGAGTTTGAACAATTTACTCTGTTTAAGCACACTGGTAAAAACAGCATGCATTCACTTCTGTAGGCTTTCACTATCATGGACCAAAACAGAGACGGTTTCATTGATAAGAATGACCTGAGAGACACTTTTGCAGCTTTAGGTAGGACCAACTGTGTGTCTTTTTATGTGTAGGTGTCTCTTTTGTGTGGTGACGGTTTTATGTTGTCACATTTCATGAAAGTGTACCCAGGTGTGAAATCATTTGTAATAATCATGTCAGTTTTTAAGCAAAAATGCCAAACAATCATTAGTTCTGGCTTCTCCGATGTGAACATTTGCTGTTTTTTTTGTTTTTTTTGTCTTATGTGATGGTAAAGTTTGGTGACTATCGCCTTGGGTTTCTGGGCATCATGGACCTTTTATACTTTTTTGACATTTTATTGACCAGCCAATGAACCAGTTAACAAAGAAAATGTTAGAGAATACTCAGAAATGAAAATAATCATTAGTTGCAGCCATGAACCCTGTTCCACCTTATCTGCCCTCCTTCTCTAGGCCGTTTAAATGTCAAGCAAGAGGAGATTGATGGGATGCTGAAGGAGGCTCCCGGGCCAATTAATTTCACAGTCTTTCTCACTATGTTTGGAGAGAAACTAAAAGGTGAGGGAGTTCTGTATGCAGAGAATGATTGCATATGTAATTAACAATTAATATACTTTCAGGATAATAGAAATGTTTGGAAAAAGATTTTTTAGTTGTTAATCAACTCAGAGCTGCCACTGTTCATCTGTAGGTGCTGATCCAGAGGAGACCATCCTCAATGCTTTCAAAGTCTTTGACCCTGAAGGAAAAGGAATTTTAAAGAAAGACTTGTAAGTACATACCAATACATACGCTGTCGTTCAGCGAGGTGAATGCTGATCATCACTGCTTTTCTGCACAGTCTGACAGATATGCTGACAACCCAGGCAGACAGGTTCTCTCCTGAAGAGGTTAGTCATATGTATAAATGGCTTTTTAACTTTTTTATTGAGTCAGAAATAAAATTAATTACTGATGTTTCTTTCCCATAGATGAAACAGATGTTTGCAGCATTTCCTCCAGATGTAGCAGGAAACCTAGACTACAAGAACCTGGTCTATGTCATCACACATGGTGAAGAAAAAGACCAAGAATAAATCAACTGTTCCTGAGATTTTCTGTCTGAGCATTTAATTCAGTTATGTTTGTGCCCAGATATGTGCATGATCACTCACACTACAGCAGAAACACAAACCTACAAATAATATGTTCAAATTTCAACTTCAATTTTTTCCATAAATGTGCATTCATAATTCATAAGTATAATTTGTACATGTATGATTATCATCACACTACATGATGATGTAGTAGTTGAAATGAAACATTATATGACCACAGCTAAGGAAATATAACAGGTTTTGATGTTACATGCTGTGAGATATATTTGCTGAATGAATAAAGGCAGTGAGGTTGATATCACTGGTGCTGAAAAACATATCTTCAAAGATCCATTCCTTTATATTTGTGCTAACTATGACATTTTATTGATGAGGGACATTTCAAGTGGCTAAGAGGTTAAACATGCAGACCTAGGAGGATGTTAGCTAATCCCTGTGTAAGAAGCAGCAATTACTCTTTTCTATTTGCCTCTACAGAGGCAGATTTGTGTATGTGCACTTCCCAAAGGTCCAGCACAAAAGCTGTTTTAGTAGTAATGCTTAATTAGTTGTATACAGTAATTTTAGTTTTAGTCCAGTGCTGACTGTGCAGCTTTGGACTAGAAAGTTCAACAGCTACAAATCCTGTATCCCAGTATAATTTCTTTAACTGTATGCAGAGTATTGTTGGCTAAAAGTGTGTCCTGGATTTGTAAATGTTAAAAGAGAAAATATGAAAGATAGCTGTGCGTCCAGTCAAAGGGTTATAGGACTATTTGGCTATTACACTGTAACTCTAACCGCACTAAGCTGACGTCTTATAAAGTATATGTCAAAGATGGGATGGTGTCTATTTAGGGATGCAGGTCTACCCTTTCCTATTCTTAGTGTACCAGTTTTTTTTATAACAGTCAATCTCAAGTCAAACTTGATGAGCTCATTTTAGATAGAATGACTCCTACTATATTGTTTGCTTGTGTTACATTTCGTAAAGGGAACTGTCTTTTTGTTCTGTATTGTTTGTTTTTGTTTCTCAGGCTTTGTATGTGTTTGGATAAACTGTTGCTTTGGGAATCAATCGCTAAAAATTTTAAATTTGGTGTTTAACACATTACACTGCAGTGTCATAGCAAACCTCCCCATAGAAAACTGAATTTAGCAACTGAAAACAGCAAATTGAGGAGGAAGTGTATAAAGTCAAAGTGTTTAATCTCTGTCGATATACAGTAGCATCACGGCACACTTTAGTGATCAGACTGGCTTTTTGTGAACACAATTGTATTTTGCACCCTTTGATTTCACTTAAGAAACTGTCAAAGAAAACTTTATTTTAAGAAAATGGCTATATGCTTGAAATGATGTTTTCACTATGTTAGGACTTACTAATAAGCTTCTACATAATTACCCAGGTAATCAGCGACTGTCCCTCCTTTAGTAGACAAGCCAACTTTATTTATATAGCACATTTCACACACAGAGGCAGTGCAAAGTGCACAGAGGCAAAGAAAGACAGTAACTTCATTAAAAACAATAAGCATTAAAACCAGAATAAAATCAGTGAAATGGACCAACTCACTGTAAAGTATTACAGCTTTAACTATATATTTGAAGTAGCCTAAATACCACACATAATGATATGATAAAAGATAAATACTCAGATTGATAAATTGTGAAAAAATAATTACTATTGATTTTACTGAGCTTAAAAATAGTGCTGTTTATTTTATTCTTTCCATTGTTCATTAGGGTTGTGTAGGCTAGCTACAGGAAAACACTGCCTATGACTGTCAAATCTTTAGATTATTATTTATGGAGAGGGCAAGTCTGTCTTGAACATGGCTGGTTTCTGAAAACTAATGCTCCCTAAGAAGTATTTAATAACTAGGCTCATAAGATTTTCTGATAAGTTTTTACACTCTCAAACTCATCTTTACCAACATGGGTTAACGAGTATTTCTCCATCCAGTACAGTAGGGGGTAGCAAAACAGCAGCTAGCAACAGCTTCCTTAAAGCCGCTGGCTAGTGCTACACGGTGTGGTAGAGAAAAATAGAAACGGGACATTGGTGCGAGTTAACGGCTCGTGTGGTTGACGTTATTTGTTTTTGTCCCAGTTTATTTGCAAATGTCAGTGTCGGATGTAGATATTTTTTAAACTGTGATGTTTACGTAGCTTATTAGACTGTATGAAGTATCACCGAGCAGCTCAACAGAAGCAGGGCCATATCAACATCCTTACCCTCATCCGGAAAATCAACGAAGCTAACATTAGGCAGCTAATGCCAGGCTAGCTAGCAGGTTAGCTTTCAGAAGTGTGTCGACGCCAAGACCTAGATTTGACTGAGTCGATTTTATCAACGCAAACGTCGCTATGGCTGATGTTGACAAGCTCAACATAGACAGTATAATCCAGCGTCTTTTAGAAGGTAAGGAATGCTGAAATATCTGTAAAGTACAGCTTCGATTATTTGCATGGTGTGTGATAAGTGCTAGCAGTAGATAGGCGACTAGCCTTAGTTTTGATTGTCAACATTTTCTGTAATATCTAGTTAATCATATTAGCTAGCTAATGTTAATTTTTTACTCTTTATTTTTTAAGGTTAACGGTCAGATTTCACCTAATTTGTATCTTGGCTTAAAATGTTAGCGTAATTTAACATTACCCGAAGAGCACAAAACAACATGTAACGTTAGCCTACTTGCTCAAATAACATTACAGACAAAAAAAAAAAAAAAACACTAGCATAGCATTGCGCATCACGGTATTGTACCGAACAGTCTGTTTTCCCTTGTACCTAACCTTACCACTAAGCTGACCTAACCCGTAGGGGGCAATTACTGGAGACACCATTAAGCGGGGAACAGACTTCGACGAACACAGGGGCGGCGTGTAGTATATAGCGTTACTGTACGTTCCTGTTTCCCCCCACAGTCTCCGTAAAGACATGCTGTACCCGCCAAACACTGTGAACATAGCTGTTCAAATATTTTTATTGACTTTGTGTTTGGTTTCTTGTTGCAGTCAGAGGAGCAAAGCCTGGCAAGAATGTGCAGCTGCAGGAGAATGAGATTCGTGGCTTATGCCTCAAATCCAGGGAGATCTTTCTCAGTCAACCGATTCTTCTGGAGCTGGAGGCCCCCCTCAAGATTTGTGGTAAGATTTGTACAGATCTCTATATGAAAAATAATAGATTATTAAATTGAAAACCGATTACCTACCCAGTAAATGAATAGTCGAATATTGGAGTCCAGCCCTCCAGCAAAGTTAGAAAAATATTTGAACACAAACGACATAGTAAGATAGACAACAAGCTGCAACTTCATCAAACTGAGCCTCCTCCATGCTGCACAGAGTGGTTTCTCTGTGCAGCCACTTGTGAGACAAGTGCACAGGGATCGTCTCCAGCATGGAGGACGACTATTTTTGATGAAAATTTGGCTGTAGCTAGTTGGCCTTACTACGGCTGTGTTTTAATTATTTTTTTTGCTTATTGATCCAAGAACTTGGAATATGTCCAACTTTATCAAAATCTCAGCAGTAACAGTTGTCATTGCCCCCACACCCCTCAGGGCATGCTGTAATTCACATCCTGCATGTGTAGTGGGCTACTATATGGGGAAAAAATGTACATGCTGTCAAAAATCAGAGTACTCGTTTATGAAAATTTGTAAACATTCCCACTCCTAGTAGGTTTAGTTTGTCCTTGTTCTGCAGGTGACATCCATGGGCAATACTATGACCTACTGAGGCTGTTTGAGTATGGGGGCTTCCCTCCAGAGAGCAACTACTTGTTTCTGGGAGACTATGTGGATAGGGGGAAGCAGTCTCTGGAAACCATTTGTCTTCTGCTCGCCTACAAAATCAAATACCCTGAAAACTTCTTCCTGTTGAGGGGAAACCACGAGTGTGCTTCAATCAACAGAATATATGGTTTCTATGATGAGTGTGAGTAAAGTATACTGACTTTCATAACTTAAAATATACTGTCCCATGACTAGTTACACAGGTTTTTGTGTATGTTGCTTAAATAACCTAGCAGTTAATCAGTTGTCTCTGTGGCTATTTGAGCTGTTTGGCGAAGTGTTACATATGTGCAACAGCAGTGGAAGAATGATGAATTGAAATGTACCTTGTTTTCTTAATGTTTTAGGTAAAAGAAGGTATAACATCAAACTCTGGAAGACCTTCACAGATTGTTTTAATTGCCTCCCTATTGCCGCCATTGTTGATGAGAAGATCTTTTGCTGCCATGGAGGTAGGTTCATATTTTTATTTTTGAATGTTTTATTTATTTATTTGTTTGTTTGAAGATAAAAATCATTATTTTAAAGTGCAGAATTTATTTAAAAAATGTTCTACATTATATTTCATTAACTTCATCGTTCTATGGACGTCTATAGTAGTCCACCACTGACCTGAGCAACTCTTATTTGTTCTTGAATAATGCTGACTTTTCAGTTTGCCAGCTGACGTAGGCTGCTCTCTTAGGCAATAGGCATTCAGCTCAGTGTGATAAGTCTGTTTATTTGTACTTTTACTGCTGTTCCATTCAGGACTGTCACCTGACCTTCAGTCCATGGAGCAGATTAGACGCATCATGCGCCCCACTGATGTGCCCGACCAGGGTCTGCTGTGTGATTTGCTCTGGTCTGATCCAGACAAGGATGTGTTGGGCTGGGGAGAGAACGACAGGGGCGTCTCATTTACCTTTGGCTCAGAAGTGGTGGCTAAGTTCCTGCACAAGCATGATCTGGATCTGATCTGTCGTGCCCATCAGGTAATCACAATCACCTCCACCAGTGAAGAAAGAAGTGTGACTGTATAAGGTGGCTGTGTATTGGATATGTCTAGTAAGTGTGACAAATGTTTTTTGTTTTGTTTTACAGTATGTAGTTAATTAAAGATCTGAAGAGAGATTATAATTATTTGACAAGCAACAAAAGGAAGCACCAGAGGAAAATGTGCACTTTGTGTGGCAGAAATATGTATTTTGCTTTCCACTTGTTAGTCATTTCAGATAGATGTTGTGACCCTTTGTGTGGATCCTGACCCAGCAGGCTGGAAAGCACCATGCTAGACTTTATCTGACTCTCTGCACATTCAGTGGCCTGTAGTTAACATCCAGTCAGAGATTGCATTCTTAACTGTCTAAACCTGTCTCACTTGCAGGTTGTGGAGGATGGCTATGAATTTTTTGCAAAGAGGCAGCTTGTCACTTTGTTCTCAGCTCCCAACTATTGTGGCGAGTTTGACAATGCAGGTGCCATGATGAGCGTGGATGAAACCCTCATGTGCTCCTTTCAGGTGAGGTGCCTTTGCAAGTATATTAGGGTGTTATCACATTAGGCACAGTTGTTTTGTAATTTTTATTTGTTTTCATTTCACTTTTTAATAATAAAATATGAAAAAAGCTTATGTGCAGCCATTTTTCATGTCAACACCACATGAAGCAGGTGATTTTATTTTTTTTTAACAATGACAGCGGAGGCCATTGAAAACACTGCGGCCATTGTGTGTAAACAAGCAAATAAAAACTGCAGTTGTACAAAATTAGACAGTTACCATTAAGATATGAACACTTCATTTACACAAAGTTAGGTTAACTGAAGTGAGCTGACCTGCTGTAGCTTGGCCTGCTGCATAGATGACTGTCGTTAGGTTTCTCATGGGCCTTACACTTTTGATCTGAAAGCTGAATTTGTGATCTGCTGCCTCCCTGGAGACTGGACTTGCCAGCTCCACTTCAGCTAAACTTTTAAAGTCAGAGAACATTTCTTTAGGGAAGTGACTAGAAGTTGCTCTGACCGTGAAATTTCCTGATCCACTGCATGTGCTCCTTCTGCACCAAAGGTGCAGCTGTAACCCTCTGTGATTTGTAGTGGTCTCAGATGCTCTCTGTGGCCTCCAGTCTGCGGCTCATCAAGTCACTGTCGGCTCCCAGATAGTGAGGTGTATTGAGTATGGTTTCAGTTGTCCTTCGTCCACTGTATCAATTGTCCTTTTTTCACCTCATTTATTATAATTGCCTTAGCAATGGTGGAGAAAGTCACAAACACCAGTTTGCCATAGCAATTATTGGGCTTTTTAGTAGCCTTACTGTAAGTTAGGGTAAATTATCCTCTGTTTTCTAATCTGTCAAAATGACTGACTTTCAGATTTTTCCATCATTTAAAAAAATTCTGTCAATGATGGAAACTACTTGGTTAATGTAACCTCTGGTACTACATGCTTGTGATAGGCTGTTATAAGTAATATGTATTTTATGCTCATTGTTGGTTGATAAACTGTCCCAGCAGAGACAGGAACATTATAGAGCTTTAAATGATGACTAGTAGTACAATGAACTACACAAATTTGATTTTTAGTACCTTATCCTAGTATGCAGGGTGCAAGGACATGTTGGTACCTATAGTACTATTTATTGTGCAGGTGGGTAATCTTAAAAAAAGCTATGGGTTTTTATTTATATTTATTTTTTGACGAAATAAGTCCAATAGCTAGAATTGCCAAAAGAATTATTAAGTAAGGAAATGGCGCAGAAACCTCAACAGACATGGTGACAAGAATGATTTTTAGCTGTGTTTTACAGGAGTGTGATGCTGCATCATTCAACATTTACAACTCTCTGTGCTCCTTTTGTAGATTTTGAAGCCAGCTGAGAAGAAGAAGTCCAATGGCAGCCGTCCTGTGACTCCACCCCGCAACATGGTCACCAAGCAATCCAAGAAATGAGGGGGGTGGGTGGGGGGCAAATGGGGGGAGTCTCACTCTTCGCCTCTGCTTCCCTTGTCTGTGTTTGCCGGATAGGTTATCCTTCATACTGTCAATATTGAAAAGATTTCCACTCCTACCTGATGAAAGAAAATGTTTTTTTTTTTTTTTTGTCCACAGGGGTAAATTGATAATTTCACCATGAATCCTCAGGTGTTTTGCACTCCATTTTGCAGCTAGAATTTTTTTGTTGTTGTTTTTGTCTGTCAGGTAGTGATGGTGGAGAAAGTCACAAACACCAGTTTACTTATGTAAATCTTTATTTTCAGTTAATTTACAGTCACTGTCATAGGACATTGACTCCACTGCATTATCACATTTTTAAATAAGTCTTGTGCTAAATTAAACAAATAAGGAAGAACTCTTGTAATGTCTGAATATTTCTAATAAATTTTGAGTGTATTTTAGGGGGAAATTTTGTCTGAATGCCATTTGTTTCTTAATTGTTTTTACTTTATAAAAATCAAATTCAATTGCTTCAAGAAAGAGGGGGGGGGGGGGGTCTCCGGTCTCCTCAGTCAGTACCACAAGAGGGAGACAATATATTGCAAAATGTCATATGGAAGTAGGCAGAGTGTGTCCAAGGTATGCCATGTGAAAAATAATTCAGTACTTTAATTCTTTTTCTTCTCATTTATTTATTTAGCTATTTTTAGGGCTTGGCTGTTTCCTATATTTGTTTATGTTTATCTTATGCTTCAGATAGTTATTTTTGATTAAATTAGTAGTTAGCTTTGAGTTAATTAGCTAAAACGTTAATTTCACCATACGAGTTACCTATTAAAGCTTGGTGTTGCTATTTGCAAATATGATAAGAAATTGACTGGCAGTGACATTTCCTTATTAGGAAACGTAGGTTGCGTAACGTGCTCTGACGTCAGAGCAGTCACAAGACGCAGCTAGCGGAGGCGAGTGTGAGTGTGCGCGCGCGAGGCCAGGAGACAGCGTGTCCACATTTGTGTATAGTGTTTCGGAGCGCTGGAACAATGACCGCAGAGAACCAATAGTTGCAGGTCTTTTGGAGTAGAACAGGCAACTGTTTTCTGTGAATTTTTGTTTTTGGGGCGCAGGAATTAAAAGTCACAGAGGCAGTACATATCTGTCAGCGGTGTACATTGTGCATGCGTGCGTGGCGGCTGGTGTCGGCAGCTGCAGTGTTTGGCTAGCTTCGTTAGCAAGTCAACATTGTGTGCTCATATTGACGCTAAGCTAGCAGAGGTGCTAGCTTGGCCGGCACGTGTGGTGGAAGCTGGTGTATAGGTGATGTTGTCCGTGCTGTCCTACGGTAGACTGGTTGCCAGAGCTGTCATTGGCGGACTTTCTCAGACTGACAGCCGCGACTACAGCCTGGTGTCGGCAAGCTGCGGCTTTGGCAAGGACTTTCGCAAAGGCATCCTGAAGAAAGGGATGTGCTATGGGGACGACGCGTGCTTCATTGCCCGACACAGATCCGCCGATGTTTTGGGTGAGTGTCTGGTTTGTTTGCTGTGGAAACATTTGCCAAGTACTGCGACATGACATTGGCAATGACGTAAGCGACAGGTCTAAGGTCACTCGTTGATCTGAGGCTGAAATACCTGATATGAAGCACGTGTTGTGACAGTATTGTACAGTTCAGAAGCCTCGCTAGTGTCCACTGAATGAAAACAACCCCTCAACAGAGAAGCCTAAGTTATTTAACACCTATGCGGGACTGGGCAGTTCTAATGTGCTGCTGCAGTCTGGGTTAACGAAGACGAAGAAACGTAGAATTCAGGACACCCTTTCGCCAAGTCGGGTTATTTTTGGAGCATTTGATAAGTTACAAAGATGTGGGTCTGCTTTGAGAAGGCCTTATTCTGTGTTCTGGCGCAGGCTGGAGAGACGCACAGGGCCATCCTTGTATGGTCAGCGGAGCAGATGCATATTTCTATAGAAAGATTATGATGTTTCTGTTATGACATTTGTGCATTTAACTAATGCACGAATAAGGGTAACAAATAGGATAACATTTAACCTCAAAACCTCACTCAAAACCTACAAATAGGTTAACATTTAACCTATTTGTAGGTTTTGAGTGAGTCAGCATACCATTAGATTTTTAATAGGCCTAAAATGCATTTAACTACAACTATTAAATAAGTTTATCAGTGTGTAATTACTCGTAATAACTCTTAAGCTGTGTAGATGGTCAGATGGAATCTGTGGATTTAACACTGTCAGAAATAACTGAAAGCATGAGAGGTCAAGAATGAGCTCCTTATAGTAGCTCCTTTATGCAGTCTGTTTAAAACATGGCTTACATCCATTTTCTTTACTGGAAGCCCCTTTTACAACTTGCTGACAGTGTTTTATCATTCCATCATTCAACTGCTGAGCATTATTCTTGTACCTCTCAAGTCTGAGGGGTGGCAAAAATGATTACTGCATTATTTATGTGCTCATTTTTACGTCAAACCTTTATTCTCGTAATGGGACCAGTTAGTTCCCTAGTAGGGTTTAAAAAGTTGCTTTTTATACAATAAAGAATACAGATATTAGTGAAGGAAAGGGGCTTATTGAATGAAACAAATATATTAATTTACTAAATTATTATATTGGTATATTTTTTACTCGCCCCTTGCTGTTATGTACGTGCACATTGAGAGCCGCTGTGCCAGAGTCAAATGCCTCGTGTCCAGCACACCTGGCCAGTAAAGTTGATTCTGATTAAAACCTGTATGTTTTTAGGTGTGGCAGATGGGGTAGGTGGCTGGCGAGACTATGGTGTGGACCCGTCACAATTTTCAGGTACATTGATGAAGACTTGTGAAAGGCTAGTGAAGGAAGGACGCTTCGTTCCCAGCAACCCTGTGGGAGTCCTCACGACCAGTTACTATGAGCTGCTGCAGAACAAAGTGCCACTGTTGGGTGAGTGAAGCAACTGGAAACACAGGATTTGAGTGTTTACAGAGAGTCATGCTCACCTCAATTTGTTTTAAAGCTGCATTAAAGTAGAGTGTACTGTTACCCTACATTATGGAATACTTTGTATTCCTGCTTCTGACCAGTACCTGGAAAAAAAACACCATTATGTCTGGCACATGTCCAGCTGTGGTACTTCGGCACAGGTTGTGTGGATGCCTGCTGCTGCTCTGTTAGTCTTTGTCCGGTCTGTTCGTATACAGCTAATTGGACCTCTCAGTAGTCGTTTTTACACAGATCCTGCACTACTGCCATTCCAGAGTCGCCAGTATGCGATATAAATTTTGTGCCGTTAGTCTACAAGCCAGAATGACAGTGGCAGGATAAGTGCTGGTGTAGCTTTGTTGGCTCTTCAAGCATTTATTTAGCTTCATGCAAAGTTGGTTAGCGTGTTTCTTGCTATGTGTGTGAATGTCATGAGTAATAACTGTAAACAACGCATTTGTGAATGCTTTGACCTATAAGTTAGAGAGAAGCCAAGAACAGCTCAAGGCAGAGAGGCGTGCAGACTTGACATGCCGGTGATAGTGTTGCGCACATATTATGTCAAAACGTAGCGCTTGGTCCCAGACTGCTGGCTCACCCTTTCTACACAGAGCGCGTCTCCCCTTTGTTTTGCCGCTGGTACTATCTTCCAAGGTGGACCAGAGTTGTAACAAAAATGGCCTGCCATTGCGGCTTTGCACCCAGAAAACGAGACGGAATAAAGGTGCACCAGTCCCAGCAGTATGTAAGGGGCTAGTGAAACCACCTAGGCCTCCTTTTATGAACCATTCACATTCATTGATTCATATTAAGATTTTCTTACAACTGGAGACTGTGGTACTTCTCGTAGTCTTCCTTAATGCCTTTCACCTTAATTAAATGTCCACTAAACTATTTTAGAGCCTCCTAAGCCGTGCTCTCTGCTGGACAGTGTTTACCAGTCTGTGTAAAGGCATACTGTGCCTGCCAGTGAAACTGTACAGTTTCCATGTGGTTTGGATCAGAGTACACAGCGGAGTTTAATGGTGACTGGAAGGAGATTTTTGCATCGTGACTCAGAACAGCCACATCCCATTTAGAACTCCAAGGGAATGTTCTGACCTGTATCATGTAATTCACTTCCAGAGTTCCTATGCACCACTTCCTTAACAATGAAGAATGCACAAACAAATGTCGACAAACAAATGTCGTAGGTGCCTCTCTGAGCGTCAGTACTTTTCCACCCCGTTACCACATGCATGGCAGGGGAGACAACACTGTATTGTGCTGTTCCTTCATGGCAGAGGGAGTGATATTGATGCCGGCAGTGTGTGTAATTGTTACTGCTGGAGAGAAAATGGAGAAGAAAGGGAGTCACAGTGCGTGAGGGGCTTAGGTTGGGTTGGGTTCTGGTGTGCCAGATGAATCACCAGCAGGGTGTGTCCACATGTCTGCCTGCTCTACCAGCTTGTTTCCTCCTTGGCATCGGCCAGATGGTGGAACTCCAACAAAAGTGATTCAAACCACTGCATTGATTGTGGTAGATCAGGTTTGTGTATTCAGGCCAACCTCATTATAATCAGTGTCCCAAACACACTTGGACAGGTATCTTTCCATAAATGCTATGTAAGATTATTTCCTAAGCTTTGTAGCTGCAGAAAGTCAGAAGGAGAAGACTTGTTTTCATTCTGGAATTTTTAAGAAAGATTGTGTAATAAAATTGAATAGCTGAACAGCAAATTTCAAGACATTTCTTTTATAGACTGCCTTTGACAGAGAACAGCAGGAACAGCACAAGTGTAAATAATTGAATGAATGTTGGCTCAGGACCATTCTGCTGCTTCAGTTTCAGCGTGCAGGTGTTGTGCATGCAGGGTTACTGGGATACTTGAATAGACCAAAGCTGTAGTTAATGTTATTACACTGAAAAAAACTTTGAAAAAATCAACTGGACTAGATTTCTAGGTTGAAAAACGTGCCCACACTGTAGCTTTGACCTAGAAATCTAGTCCAGTTGATTTTCTCTAAGTTTTTTCAGCTTATTATGACCTGGATGACTGAGAATCTGTACAGACTTAATGTTATTACTAACAGTTATGGTTTTCTTCCATGTCAAAATGTGTGATGCTGCACTGTTTGCTGCCAATCATTATGTATTTTTGAAGTACTGGCAGTTCCATGTAATAACTTAGCATTGTTGGAGCTTGCAGTGTGTGAAACACATCAGTTCTAATGTTATAACAACACAACAATGTGCCTGTGGAGTATACATGCTCAGAATGTCAGTTTTTGCTGTACTCTTTATGTTCTGTGGTACAGCTGATGATGCAGTCTGTGTTTGCCTTTAATATTTAGACTATTTCAGTCCTTTTCACTTGCACTGAAATGGAAAAATGTACGCCTGTGTCTACATATGTTTGCAGGTAGCAGCACAGCCTGCATTGTAATTTTGGACCGGCAGAGTCACCAGCTGCACACAGCCAACTTGGGAGACTCAGGCTTCCTGGTGGTTCGGGGAGGGGAGGTGGTCCACCGCTCAGACGAGCAGCAGCACTACTTCAACACACCCTTCCAGCTGTCCATTGCTCCCCCGGGGGCTGAGGGGGCAGTGCTCAGTGACAGGTGAGACCCTCCACAGACAGGACCTTGTGCATCTGCTGCACCACATACATCTGCATTGGTCTTTTGGGAACAGCGTATTCAGAGGGAGTGTTATCTAATAGTTAATAGTTAATAGCAGTTGATGGAGAGGAGCTCATACTGTACATGTGTTCTGTACAGCAGATGTGACAAAGCCCTGCACATCTTGATGACCATAGCTGTCACATGCAGATATACAGTCATGGTCAAAAATATTAGCACCCCTGCATTTCTGTCATATAACACACCACTTCTCCCAGAAAACCGGTGCAATCACAAATTGTTTGGCATTATCATGTTTATTTCTTTTGTTTGCATTGGAACAACACAAAAAACACAGAGAGAAAAAGACAAATCTGATTTATTCCACCCAGAACTCAAAAAATGGACTGGACAGAATTATTGACACCATCAAGTTAATATTTGGTAACACATCCTCTGGAAAAAATAACTGAAATCAATCACATGATGATACCAAAGAATTTGTGATTGCAACAATATTCTTGGAGAATTGGTGTGTTATCTGACAGAAATGCAGGGGTGTCAGAATGTTTGGCCATGACTGTAACAGTGGTGCTTAGGTGTAAAGGGTTGTACTGCAGAACATTTTGTGTGCTTGTGTCTCTGATATGGAGCAGTGGTGGGAATGTATTGACCCCACTGTGTTGAGCTGGAGTCTGTTTGTTTGTCAGCGGCCACGTGCTGCTGTGTCTCGTTGCTGTGGCATGCCAAGAGCAGCAGAGTAGCTGTCGGTAGAGTGAAGGTTGGGCATCGGATCTTTTTGCCAAGTTTTCCCTCTTACCCGGGTCAATGTCTGTGTGAGCTGATGGGCAAACCAAAGAGGCCACCGCCAATCCCGCCACAGCAGGCTCAGCTACCTTTTCACTTGCTCAGTGTTGACTCAGGCAGATTATTTTGAGCCTCTTGAGTGTTTCTCAAAAACTGTTGACAGATGAACCTGACCTGCATGTCAGTAGTGGCACAGAAAGAGAGTGTTTTAATTCTTGTAAACAACCTCAGTTCAATTTCAATCAATGCATTATTATGGATTTAACATAGTTGTTGAAGTGACACTTTCTTTTGAATTTGTACATTTTAGTCATTATCCAGAGTGATTAACACTGAGTGCAAAATCCCATCAGGCTTCCAGTCCTAGATCACTAACATAGCAACCAAGAATGCAAGTGCAAAGCATGCAAGGGTCAAAACTGTAGTGTAATAACATTTCTGTGACAAAAGAATATAAGAAGTGCTTAGAAAATACAAACTATGGACCATGGTCATGTGGTAGAGGGAGACTGACAACATACACCTGTGCAAAAGAAAAGTTTTCAACATGCAGCTGAATGCTTAATTTGAATGGTTTGTGGGCAGCTTACGGTTGCAAATGTTTTTAATGGCTACAGGTGAGGCCTGTAGTTTCATGGTGTGTCCGTGTTTTAGTTGTCCTGCAGCATTGTGAGCACACATTAGGGGAGACTTATCTTCATAATTGTAAATGATGCCTGCCTGTCAGAGCAACAGTTGCATTTTCATATGAACTGCTATTAACACTGCACAGGACAGGTCCTGTTCCTGGGGGCTTTGGCTCCGTGATGTAGTCCAGACAGTTTATAATGAATAAGATTCATGGTTGGCTAGGGGCTGTCCGGTAGGGTAAGGGCATCTTCCAAGAAGTAAACTTGACACTGCCACTGCAGGCCAACTTGGTTCCTGCCTATATGTATTTGTAGCACCCATTATAATTATGGACCCAACTGTCCTTTCAGACCACCATGTGATGATTCTTTGAATTTGTCCTCATCCAACTCAGTTTCCGTAGCCATATCGGTAGCTTTGTCAGTGCATATCCCCGCTGAGTGGGGTAATCTGCAGTGACCACTGAGTTCTCCTCACGTAGTGGACGGGCTGGGCCAGAGGCTCAGATTAATCTATCAGTTCAGACAAGACAAGACAAGTTTCCTGTATGAAAGTAAAACAGGGAGAGCTGAGTAAGGGTGAGAGAAAAAGCTTAAACAGGACACATCTATGTGTTTTTAGCGTCCACTGTAAAATGCATTTTAAAACTAAATCAGTTAAATTACCAAGAGCACTGTCCACAGCGTTCTCTGATCGACTTTACTATGTCTCTGCCTTCAGCCCTGATGCCGCAGATAGCTCCTCTTTCGACGTGCAGCTGGGTGACATAATTCTCACTGCAACCGATGGACTGTTTGACAATATGACCGACTACATGATCCTACAGGAGCTGAAGAAACTCAAGGCAAGGCACGAACAGGTTTGCTAGTGCAAGTGGAATCAGAAATACAATCTGGAATACAAACTTCATGCCAACTTGTTTTGCTTCTCAGAACACAAACTATGAGAGCATCCAGCAGACTGCCCGGAGTATTGCAGAGCAGGCCCATGTACTGGCATATGACCCAAACTACATGTCGCCATTTGCACAGTTTGCCTGTGACAATGGACTGAACGTAAGAGGTAAATGTCTGTTCTACTTAAACAAAATGGCAGCTGAAGTTTTACTTCCTGTTGAAACATTAAAAACATTTTTGACTACTACTTTCTAACACTGTGCTGTTTATTTTCCAGGAGGAAAGCCAGATGATATTACAGTGCTGCTGTCAATAGTGGCAGAATACACTGACTAGAGTGTGTGGAGCTGTGATGGCAGCATCATCCTCTGCAGTTTATGGACTACTTTGAATCCTGCTGGTCAGGATGAAAGACTGATGCTTCCCCCACATCTGCTGGCTCTAGTCTGCCTCAACCCCCAGCTAACTGTCACCCACTTCTACATGCCCGCTTCTCTGCGACTGTGTATATCAGAGTGACTGAATAGAGAGGACTCACGACCAGGCTGCCATGTTCTGGTCTCCACTGGATAATCCCATTGCCTGAGATCAGCTGTCATTGGGAACAAGGATCCTGCCTGACAGGGTTAAGTTATTTCTCTGATGGATGTTTTAGGCAGGGAGGAAGTAGAGATTCAGAGGGGGGCAGATGTAACCAGACAGTAGATGTTTGACTCTTAAAGTGGCCCCACACTGGGCTGTTGGAGAGGAAATTTACAGTCCAGTCCATCAGTAGCGTCAGGAAGGAAACTGCACAGGAAATGGCAGCATTAGGGCTCAATAATTGGGCTGCCTTGTGCAAGCAGATGTTCCTAATGATACAGTGGTAGTTAGAGATCTTGTCAGAGGGCCGGGGAGGGTATGTTTAGTATGACTGCTGTGCTGTCCTTGGATGTTTTGTTAAATGTTTGCAAAAAAAAAAAAAAAAAACCACTACTAAAAGTGACATTCATACATCTGTCGTTAGTTTCTTGGGGCACATTGATCCAATAAGATTTCATGAAGAGTGGCAGGGGGCTTTTCCATACCAGTGCAATTTGCACATATTTTGTTACTTCATGTTTAGAGTATCTTTAGTTCAAAGATGTATGTCATGTCAAAGTGATGCCCTCCCTTTAATCTCACAGCTGCTGCTGAAATCTTGACTGTGATTACATGTGGTGTGTGTATGAAGTATGTGTGATGCTTGTAGTGGTATTGATAGGTGTAGTTGGCGCCTCTGAAATGGATGTGAAGGCTACAGACTTGTTCATATCCACCAGGCTGAATTGGACTAGCAGCCTGAAACGCACAAAACTTATGAAGCATATCTGAAAAGGCTCAACACAGTGGAAGTTGGTCAGGTGACCAAATTTATTTTTGTATCTTCTTTGTTTAATGGGATTGTTGAATTCTTTGGACCGATCACTGCATCAGAGTGGCTTTAGAAACTGTTGTTCACAATCAGCGTCATCCTGTCCTCCCTCTCTCTCCCTCCTGCTGTAGAGCTACAATGGCACACCATGAGTCAGGTCACTGCAGGTTTCAAGTGAAAGATGGTCATTATGTTTGTGTTCACTACAGATGTGCACTCTGCATTTACTACCACTTTTACCCAGTTAATGTTTTTAGTAAAACCATATTTAGTGTAATGTTATGATGATGTGCCTTGTATCAGGTGTTGCTGATACTGGCAAACGTTCTTAATTCCTCAAATGCCTGACTACGTGCCAGCCACTGAGCGCAAAGCCTGAAACTGTTAAGTAGCCATAAGAGTCAAATGTTTTCCCATCATGGCCTGCTGTCTTAACATCAGGTCTTTTTAAGTACAGCCTGTTCAACCTTTTTTTTTTCTCCTGAAATCTACTTCTCCACACTCAGCCAGGAGCTCAGTGCATAGAAAATCCTCCCCGCGGCCCTTTAGGTCACTGTTTACAATCTACACCATCTAATAAATAGTGTTTCCCAGTTTCATCTGATGTCTTCGCACTGGGAGACTGCAGTGTCAGCTGCCACTTTGAATTTGGGCCCATGGGTATGGAGGAGCAAATTTAGGCAGAGCTGTAAATGGTCAAAATGAGAGTTTGAAATGTTACAGCACAGTGGACAATCTAAGCAGCCTGAACAAAGCAGCTGTCCCAGTCAGACGGTACTAGCACTGTTAGCTCTATGGTTTCTGCTTCCTGCCCACCCTGACATTCTTCTCTGTTGTCTCACATCGATGTCATCTTCCAGACTTTGTTACAACCAGAGTGCATGTATGTATAGGTTGTACAGTTCAGTGCAGATCTAAGCTCTGTGAAAAACATTTTCAGATCTGTACAATATTTAAATAAAGACTGTAGTATTTATTGTTTCCTGTTTGATATCAACACAAACCTGTTTGTAGTTTTAGAGCTTGAGAACTGAACAACACACTGCAGGTGCACTTTCTTCACAGGTTTATGCTACAGGCCTCTGTGGTATTTTCCCATCAGGACCTTATCACATTTAGCTATGTATCTGACGGTAGTACAGTTTCTGTTCTCCCACATTCCTCTGACAACAGTGTGTGTTCTCATAGCGCCGACTGAAGTCATTCTACTACACATGCTTTGTTAAATGTATTTCACACACTGTAAATGCCAAGACAAATTAATTTGTATATTCTTAGATGCATAACTACAATAATTCAGTTAAATTTCAAGTGAACTTTGAGGGCAAACCACTTCCAAAACAGCTGCAACAATTAAAGCAAACTTTGAGCTATAAACATGCTTAACATTTACTTAAAATGCTAAGTTCTTATCATTCTGACTACAGTTGTGTTGTGGCCTACATTTGGCAGTGTCAAAAAAGTCCAGATGAGAAATGAGAGTGGAGGGTGTCTTGTTTAGTCTTCTTCCTCCTCCGTGTCACTGCGAGATGCCAGTACAGGCAGGTCGTCAGCAGCATCCTCCTGCTCCGAGGACAAAGCCCTGAACAGGAGGGAGCAGATCTACAAGGGAAAACAAACACGTTTGTGTACACTCTTATTGAAATAACACTATTATTTCAGGAATAGGTGGCTGTTTTATTTGAATGTATTCTAAATTAAATCCTCAGTGTAAAATAAAATGAGTTCTGCCTACGGTCACTAGAAACTGGTCTGACAAGATAGTGTTCGCTTCTTGAGGAGGAAAGATTCCCAGATCAAAAAAATTCAGGAATTAGTGGACTTGAGTGTTTGGGCCATATCAATAAAATGCCTCCATTCATTAGGGTGACGTAAATAAAACCCAGACTTCACGTCCAGCAGCACCTTGCTTGTTCTCTTCAGTCACACTTCATATGGTGAGGCATGATGCACTGTGGGCGCCATGCCAGCCAGCCTGTCAAGACTGGAGAGCATCCATGCCTCAGGGAAGAGTAAAAACACATATGGAGATCCCAGTGAAAATTAAAAAGCAACAGGAAAAATTCGTTACCATGGTGGACGCAGAAATGGCGGCACAGGGCTGCCCAAGAGCAGGTGGGTTGATTATAGGGCTTCCCTGACTGGATGCGATCAGCTCTGTTACAGCAGGAAAATCCTGGGGCTTACTGTTTCCTGCATCATATGACCCCACAGGTGGAGCTGCGGCACCTGCACACCTGGGAGCACACACATGACACACTTGTCTCTGCAGCAAGCTCTCTATGATTTTATTGTTCACAGCTAACTATTAGTTCCTGAGCAGGGAACAACAGTCATAACTCTGTGTGCAAGGTAGTTGTAGTGCTAACTTCCATATAACAGTTCTTGTCTGATGCAGACAGCAGTGTAGTCACAAATATGTCTAAGTGAAATGTGAGCATGTGGATTATCACTGAGCTTGGTGAGGAGGCTTAGCTATACTGGCATGTCTGATGGAGGAAGTGGAGAACATGTTAATGCCATGAAATGGCACAATAAGAAGCAGTGAAAAGAGGACAAGTACACTAAAATGATCAAATACAATAATTAGGAGCATGAATTGTTACCAAGTTTTAGCATTGCTTTGAACGCTGTGTAGTACATTCAGATTTCATGGAAACTTTTAAGGACATCATGATTATTTAAGACAATTCGACCAGGGTGTGTGGTTCTGGATCAGCTGATACTGAAAGTGGCCTCAGGCGCAGTATGAGCAAACAACAAAAACAACCCTGTGCATGTAACCACACTGTCAACAACCTCAGAGAAGCAACCAGACCAGAAGTGTAAAGAGGAGCATGGCAGGAAGACATAAAGAGAGCGAGCTGGTTTTAAAAAGTCTTCAGACAAGAATGTTTTGTCGCGAACGTGCCCCGAGTAACAAAAATGCACTGCACCTGTTCACAAACAGCCTGAAGGGTTCATGTTCAAAAAGAAACTGTAAGTTAAGGATGTAGGCTGTTGTTGAATTCCTGAGCAGTGGGGACAGGAACGCTGCAAAACTGCCTGCTCATCAGGTTGCCGCTGTCTCTGCAGACTCCCAGCAGCGTGCACAAGCAAACCAAACTACAAATGGCCCAGATGTTCAACCAGAGCACAGTACAACAAAGAGTGAGAGTTAGCAGAGCAGAACAGTGACACTGGCAGCACGGCAGAGATGAGGGGATTACAGAGTGTCATGCTGATGGGCCCACATGTCCTGGGCTCGCCCTGTTTATCTCTGTCACAGACACAAGGCTGGCGGCTGTAATACTTTGTTCTCTAAGGATCTGAAAACAGCTAACAAGACCAAACTGCCTTGACTGAGTGCCAGGAGAGAAGCTCAGGTGGAGCCCCAGGGGCAGATTACATTACTCTCTGATACACCAACACTGTAGGTCCGGGCTGACAAAGACTATAATGTGTAACAGTAGCAAGAAAATAAACCTTACCCTTATTTGTGCAACTGTGTCATAAAAGCAATGTCACCAGAGGCAACATGGTGTTTGTTACCTAGGAGTAGTAGGGGCCGGAGTCTCAGGAGACTGAGATGGGCCCCCGCTTTCAGAATCGATCAGGGTAGCCAGCACCACAGTGGCCTTCAGGACCAGGTTGTCCACAGAGAAGCACACAGGCCTGCAAAAAATCAGTGACAGGATATCTGACAGTGGAAAATCTCTACTGACTGACCTGTCCCTTGGTAAAATAGCTGTTAATAGACTTATTAGCTGTAAACCAAATAGCTGGCTGAATTTTGAGGTTGTCTGGGGTTAATTACACACTCACTCTGGAGTGCCTGTGGTTTAGCACGACACAGCCTGACGCTGGTCTCTGTAACTTGAGATGTGAATGCCACTCAAGCTAATCATAACGGCAGAGACACTTACTTTCCCGCAGCACCAAAGTGGACTGACACTGGAAGGCAATGTGACTCTGCAAAGGACAGCAAACCCTGGAAAAACATAACAGCACAACATGCTCATGTGCATCCATTTAATGACTACAACATTTTGGCAGCTGACCATTTGGAGAGCAGTGTCGTGGCTTTTTAGGATAATCACGCTGAAGAAGAATATCAGTGTTCAAGTAAACTGAGGCCAACTAAACCTTAAACCCCAGTTTCTAATCCACCCAAAAGTGATTTTCCACAACCGACAGGACCAAGACAGCTAGGCTGTCTAATGAGGAACCTCACAGCGGGGTGCACGAGACACATTCCAAGACGCCGGGGACAAGAGTCGCAGGTGTTAATACAGGTCAAGTCTCATTAACTGGACTAACACAAAAACTGTTTATCTACATCTCCAAATGGCCAACCAAGTGCTTTGTTTTCTAAACCAAGACAGAAGAAAGTAACGTAATTTTGGATGTGTTTATTAAGAAACAAACCACTCTGGATTAGTAAGCAGGTTGGATATGACATGATAGTTCTCTAAGATCTATTGTTTGGTATTTACTCACTCAAAGTATAAATAGTTTAAACTTGACATAAGTTGACCCAGCCCTTAAATACACATTCCTACTTAGCTTGAGTTTTTCGTTTCATAACAAACCATGTAATGTTCAGCCTGTAATTCTGCAACTCCTAACTGCAATTACTTCTCCTGTGTAGTGGTTTAATATGCAAACTTAAGTCACACTATCTCTACTGTGAAGATGAGTCACAGAGCTGAGGGGAAAGTTCACATGAAAATGATACAAAGAGCCTACTGGTGAGCCAATCACACACACACACACACACACACACACACACACACACACACACACACAATCCCTGCAATCACGCACATCATATTCTCATGTGACAGAAGAAAGGGAGCCACCAAAAATAACCTGGTTACCCTCAGCTCCTTCAGACAGAAGGTTATGTCTGAGTCCACTCCGACCTGGAAGGCGTCAAACTCGTCTGGGGGTAGGGAAATCTCGGTGTTTATAATCTTCATATGAACTGGACAGAAGTGCATCCAAGTCAAACTGGATCATTTTTAGTGCTTTTGATAAAGCTGTCAGTCTCAAAGCTGGTGCAACAGCAGCTTTTAAACTTTATAATATCTGTGCCTCCAAACAGTGTTCTGACTCTAAGCCAAATCCCAGCGTAGTATGAACTCACCATTTCCTCGTTCGTAGTGATTTCTCAGACTGAGTCTCAGAGGAGTCACAGACAGAGTGATTTCCTCCTGGGACACTGGGAAATGCATCACCGTATCACTAAGCAGCCTGCTGACGTAGAGGGCAAAACACATGCAAACCCTGAGCAGAGACTTACAGTAATGCTGTACCACCAGCGATGGGCTTTCCAAGATTGCTATTTGAGTTATTAATGTTAAAGCCCTCGCCAGAGGTTCAGGGGCTCCATCTGACTATCCATAGTTAGCTAACAGTACAATCCAATTGTGAACACCCATTGTCTCTCCATAAACTGGGCAGCTGAATCTACCATTTATCTTATTCATGTCACCTAAAAAGAAGAGGTTAATGATAGATTTCTAAGCCTCGGGAGAGCTAAGCTTTTTGCATAAAATGGGTCCTACTCAGTCACAGAAATGTGCCTTTGAAGTTGATGCCCTGAGTGTGTAATAGAAGGCACAGGCTCCAACGTGATAATAGAACACCGAGTTGCTAACCTGGCAGGTGCCTGCAGCACATTGGGACAGCTGTGTGAGGCAAACACTGCCTGCAGAGCCTCACTTTCCTGGAAACGAAAGCTGTGGGTCTTGGTGATGCCTATCACAAAAGCAGACGGGCTGTTTGGAGCACACTGCCACCACGTGTTGACAATATGCAATACAGCATCTGCAGCGTAGTGTTACCACAGGTCACACAGCTAAAAGAACAGCATTTACATAAGTTTCAAAGTTTTTAGAAATCCTTGAAGTTTTTTTTTTTTTTTTTTACAAGCAAACAGGGTTCTTGAAATTCTGATTCTTTCCTTTACCCACAGCTATTTTAAGACCCAAAATGCAGTTAATACCTACCATGCCTGCAAAAAAACTGGATTGTCACTCGGTCACTGGGAGTGCTGATTGAAATCTGACATCGTTCCACATTACGCTCAATGGAAGTCAAACACCGGAAAAGTGGTAGCAGAGACTTAAAAACAGATTTTAGACAAGACTGACATCACCATGTTAACATTTTGATAACCCACTTTAGAAAAAAACAATATCTTATTAGAATCCCACTAATGTCCACTGTATCTTGAAAATGTAGAATCTGTGAAGAGCCGTGATATCTCAGAATTAAAGACCAATACGGCCTGTTTACCTTAATGACCAGTTTGCATTTGACCGTTTCGTTGCCCTGCTCTGATGCTGACCCCAGGCTGTAGTGCTGGAAGAACAGTTGTGAGAAAAGGAAGCAGGCATATGCAGAGTGAGCAGCATTGACTGATCTCAGCGCCAGCTGTAAGACAAGGAGAGATGCAGCTGGCTGATGCCATTGGGGGAGGAAGGTGGTGACAGAGACCCTACATCTGGTTAGTACCCATATCAAGTCTTCATGTATAATAACATCCATTTAATTTGAAAATGGAAATGCAATGTTATTCCTCCTAGAGGGACAGAATTCCTTGTTAGCCCCTGGTTAAAGTCAAGACTCTGTGATGATGATCTAATTACACACATTGTCCCTGCCACCTTCCCTTCCCTGCTCACCCCTCCAACCATGGGATCCAACCACAGCTCTTCTCCGATCCGTGACAAGGCATGAATAGCCCTTCCAAATGCTGCAACCACATAAAAAGGCACCAACAGCGTTACATACAACTGATAACATGTATGCTAGCTTCTTATAAGTGGGTGAACTGTCAGCGGGCCTAGCCTGAATTATAATATGTATAAATAATAGTTTGCTTAAATAGAACCAATTTAGACAGCACAACTAACGTTAGTTAGAAGTCCGATAATGTTAGGTATCTATGATTAGAAGCTAGGTTAAGCTACATTAGCCAAGCTAGTGCCATCTTTTATCATTAATTAATGTTTTACAAACCTTGGGTCAGCTACGTCACTTAAATAGGATTAGGCTTTAAATGGACTTTTTAATTGCAAATGTAACTTGTTTATATTCCGCAAGGCCTGTGTATTATTACCTTTTACACAGTTTCCTTCAAGGACACAATTCATTCTTGCTGATGCCAGATGTGGAGAAGGGGCGAACAGCGGGCAGCAGATGCTAACATGAAGGCTGCTCCAGTCTGGCACATGCTAACTAGCAAATCAAATACAGTGATGCTGACCTAACAGTCTTGGTTGAAAGGCTTCTCTCAGCTAAATGTAAAATTTGATCACTTTGTTCACTAGAAGAAGAGTTCTACGTTTATTGGTTTAGGGACGACAAACGTTGTGAATGTACCAAAGTCAAATTAAATTCTGTTAGAGTCAAAGATATCAGTACATGTAGAGCTAAACCGAGATAATAGCTCGTCTACAGTCTCATGACCAGCATCCAAAGAAACATGAGGCTGTAAGTCATTATAGGCAGCAGAAAATAATTCAGCTGTCTCAGGAGTAATCGAGCGGCCTTGTCAGGCAGGCATACTAGAGGTAGTTATATAATAAGAAATTAATGACTGGCTACCACGTCACAACACCACTTTCACTACAAGCTTGAAAATAATCCCTGATAAAGAGAAAAACTGCCTCAGTCCTTTAGGTCAGCACTTACATTAGTATGTATAAAATACTATTCTTGTTTTCCCAGTTTATTATTTTGGACCTTCACTGTTCTACAGGAAGGTCACAGTTCCTTCAGTTCCTAAGGAGTCAATAAAAAAATGAAAAAGAACATTTAAAACTAGAGCTTCTACATTTACTCAAAAGGCAATTCTGAGATATTTATAAACAAGAAATCCAAAGTGTAGCACTGTATTCCCATACGGATAGCTAGGGCCAGATTCTAGGTTCCGAGGAACAGCCTGAATAAACTAGTTATAGAACAAACCACAGACCCAGTATGAAGATTTAGAAATGCCGGCTTGTTAAACAAAAAAAATAAAATATAAAATCACCAATAAATGAAATTCAGTACCATTAGTGATCAAAATTTTCACAATAACAACTTTCATGAAATACTTGTACAGTAATCACACTTCCTGTGTTTACCTCAGAATATTTCTCTTTTTTTCCCTTTAAGAATAACTTCCGTTCAATTATTCTGTCCCTATAATTGTTTCAGGTTTAAACCTTTCTAAGATATCAAATTGAGTATCAATCAAAGCAGCAAATTGAAGTCATCATTTTGGGCTCTGGGAACCTATGACTGACATTTAACCCTTGTGCTCTGTTCGGGTCTGTGGGACCCGGAGACACGAACAGAGCACAAGTGTTAAACCATTTTATAGACTGAACAATTTTTTTACTAATTGTAAAAATAATCAACAGACTCATCAATAATGAAAAGCATAAAGGGTGGCAGGTCCCAGAAATTTCTTTAAAGTCAGCCGGACACGGATGAGAATGTGTGCTCTCATACCTTCAGTGCGATGCTCACGTCCATATCCTGGTGCATGCAATCAGTAAGCACTTTAGCATCACTGAGAGCTTTGTTGTGGTCTTCTATAAGACCATTGATGTGCTCGTTCCAGTAATCTTCTCTCGCACTGATCTCATTTTTCCTCATGTTGTCCAACTCTTGTTGCTGCAGCTTCATCTTTATCTCATATTTGGCTTTTATTTCTACTCAAATAACAAAACAAAATTATTAAGTTTTTGAAAGCCAACTAGTGTTTGAAATTCATCTCTAAATTATATTAGTTGTTTACCTGTGAACTGCTCCTCCAGGTTGTTCCTTGTTTCAGTCATTTATTCCTTGTGTTTCTGTTGAGATAACCAAACTGGTGTTTATAGCACTGATGCTTACTTGTTGAAATATTGTTCACCAGGGTCAAGTCAAATCCGCAGATCATTAAGAGTGAAAGTCACTTTCGGCTTTTCCTTCACATTTGGCTTTAATTTCTACTCAAATATCAAAACAAAATTATTAAGTTTGTGAAAGCCAACTAGTGTTTGAAATTCAACTCTAAATTAGATTAGTTGTTTACCTGTGAACTGCTCCTCCAGGTTGTCATTTATTCCTTGTGTTTCTGTTGAGATAACCAAACTGGTGTTTATAGCACTGATGCTTACTTGTTGAAATATTGTTCACCAGGGTCAAGTCAAATCCGCAGATCATTAAGAGTGAAAGTCACTTTCGGCTTTTCCTGTTTAGCAACAAGTAACTCAGTCCATTTACTCAAGTGGTAGGCCTATTTGAGTACTATTATGACGTTTCCGTGTATACTTTTAGGGGGAAATACAATACTTATTTATTGCAATACGTTTCTATGATATGAAGCTAAATGTTTTGATTTTTGAATTTGTTTTTTTAATATTTTGCAAATCAGGCATGTTTTGGGGCGCTTGTGTGAGCTTAATTTACAATTGTGCTTTTATTTTGAAATTCGGTCATATTTTGGAGACAATGTAATCTTAATGTGCAAGCTGGGCTTTTATTTTGAAAATCCGTCACATTTTGAAGCCTCCGGTTGAGCTGGAGATGGAGTTACAATCTGGAGCTTATATTTTAAAAATCTGGAATGTTATTGGGTTAATGTATTTGGGGTAATTTGTAATCATGGGCTTTTATTGTGAAAATCCAGCACATTTTGGGGCCTTTATGTGAGCCTAAGTTGCATTTAGGGGCCTTTATTTTGAAATTCTGGCAAGCTTTGGGGCCTTCATTTAAACAATATGCAATCAGAGACTTTTATTTTGAAAACTTATTTTGGGACATATTTTGAAGGCAGACCAACCTGTGTCTGTGTGTTTGTGTGTCACTGCGCCACTGTGTGTGTTACTGCATGTCACTGTATTGCTTTTATTGTACAGTATATGTTTGGGTGTTATGTGTGTGTAAAAGTAACAGGTGCATCATTAAGTGACTCAGCAGTTTGAGGACATGCAGCAGATTTCAGTCAAACATGGGCTTCGAACAATTGACAATTGAAGAAAAACTATAAGCCCTATCGAAAAAATCTCTTCACTATGAGCAGCAGGAGGCTTCAAAAAAAAAATGTTGTCACCTTGTGTGATCACCTACATCAAAATATTCCAGAAAACGAAGGAGCTGTGGTGATTTACAAATGCCCTAACTTTTGCTTCGAGAGGATTTTCTGAATCGTCTTTTTGAATGGCCGTCTATGGAAGAGTGAGGGGGCACTCTCTCTGGAATGTGCCACATAATTCAAAAACCGTTCATCCTATCACAATACCAAGGCCATTTTCTGATTCCTCACGTATTCCTTCAAGTATAATTTGTGTGTGAATGCTTAAGGTTGGCAGAATAAGAGCAGAAAACAAGCTGAAAAACTGTGAAAAGGCTGAAGGACAGAACTAGAGTGCGGGTCATGTGACACACTCTAGCAGAGAAATTTCCAAAATCACCATAAAACAAACTGTGAAAATTCAAAATCTGTAAAAGACATCAAAAAGCTGAATATATGTTTAAATAGCTGAAGAGTTGCTGAATTTTTTAAATATTGAATGGTCTTTCTAGCTGAAACTATGCTGAACTGGTTAAGGCTGAGAGAGAAAGAGGATTTGAAGAGTTTCTCATTCATTTGAATGGGGCAAAAAAATGTCTGAACAAACCTGAATATTTTAAAAAGTATAAAAGTTAAAAAAAATCTGAATACACACAAATGTAAACCTTAAAATGCTGAACATTCTGATACCCGAATTGCTGTTCTAGCTGAAAGTATGCTAAAGTTATTAAGGTTTGAAGATTTTCCAATTCCTTTGAATGGGCAAAAAATTGCTGAAAAAACTAAATAGTTTAAAAAGATTATAAAAAAGAAAAGTACAAGCAGTTTACAAAAATTCTGAAAAGAAGCATGAATGTCCTTAAAGAGCTGAACATGTTGATACCTGAATGGCTTTTGTAGCTGAAAGTATGCTGAAGAAATTAAATGCCGAAAAACGGACGGAAGAAACCAAAATAATAAGAAATAAAGAGCAGGATAACAATATGGTCTTTTACTTGTATAGCACGATTCTATGCTTTTTACAGCACACTCAAAGCGCTTTCACACATTATTCGGCCATTCACCCATTCGCACTCCCAAGCACTCACACACCGGTGACATCACCGGGAGCAACTGGGGGTTTAGTGTCTTGCTCAAGGACACCTCGAAATGTGGACTGGACAAGCTGGGAATCGAACCACTAATACTCCGGTTAGGAAACGACCCGCTCTACCTCCTGATCCACAGCCGCCCCCATCATCACAATGCAGTCTCTGTGAAAGATGCGAGCAACGTTACTATGGTAACAGCGGATTTAATGCTACCTTAAAGTCTGTAACAGGTGGTATAGTTTGATATTTGATAGCCCTGAAATAAACTCATTAATGTACATTTAAAACCTAACTTAAAGGACTCAGTAAAAACAGAATATATTCCAAATATATATTCAATATATTTATTATCGTTTTTTTGGATAATAGCATGATTAAGAATACAAGTATGCTTTATGATACCTATTACACCTATACATCCAACTAACAGAACGTGTAAACAGTTGTGATGGTAATAGCCTATTTGTAGGTCTGTGTAAAGCTCTGACTGTACCATGCACACCATCCAGGGACATTAAGTCATATTTAAACAATGGTGCAATAATGCAGCAGATGATGATACAAAGATCATGCTCACTCACTCATGATCAAAACAGTAAAACCATATGCTATCTTATCATAATGGTCCTCTGTTGACTATCTTTGGAAATGTGACATTAGAATTAGCTGTGCTGCTGCTTTTCCTCTGTCCTTGTGGATTGGCCCTTGTCTCCACAACCTTCTCTGGATCCATACTATTTTCTCTGTGCTGATAATCCCCACACCTCCATCTGCAAGTGGGATTCTGACCTGGGACATGAAAAATCACAACATGAAATGGTTGGTAGTGGTCAGTTTATGTTTGAGATGTTGACACCCACCTGAACAAACACATACCTGCAGTATGTTGTGATAATGTTGCTTCATCTGCCGTCTCATGTGCTCAGTACTGTAAACATTCACTAGATTGCAAAGGCAGCGTCTCTGTCCAGCTGTGAGGGCAGGATGCTGAAGCAGACACAAGAACTGACATGACTGTACAATGACAATACCCTTGTTACATATGAGGAATATCATAATAACCTCATTTAAAACCATCTTGAAGTCAAAAGAAAAACTGATCTGAGCATCTGTTCCAGCTTTTGTGGTCACCTGTAAGAAGGGTGTAGACATCATAGATTTGGGGAAGTGGCTCGTCTTCATACGCTGGCTGCCTGCAGACCCATTTATGTGTGCTCCTCGGTACATCTTCACTTGGTGACCAGGTAAACACACAAAGTCTGCCACAGGCAAAATGTAACAGGACAACACTGACAAACTAATCTGTGGCGTTGTCTAAGCAGCACATTGCAAGCACAACAGACTGCAGTGGAAATCCTTTTTATTTCAGTGTGTCAGAGCACATTTTGAACTCATTACCACAAAAGGAGATTTAAATATATTTGTAAAAGTGTAATATTTTAAAAAGAAGAAGTTTCATGGCTGTGTATTTACCTGAGCTTTGTAGTACATTTCTGTGATATGAATTTACTACATAAAAACTATTAACTGCATATATTCACTTCCTTAAAAGTATTTGAACACTACTTTTAAATGGACATTTGCTTGACAGCTATACAGGTAGTTACTAATTATTTTTCAGAATAACATTTTACATTCAAAAGACAAAAGCATGATTTGCTCTAAACAAATCACCAGTCGCCTATATGAAGCTCTTAAAATTAGTTCCACCTCAGCTAGTGACATTAAAATACTGCTTATATATTAATAAATCTATAACTTAAATGGCCATTCTGCACAAAAGGTACCTTTACTTTTTACTTAATTTTTTCATATAGCACTTTTGAGTAAAATTTATAAACAGACAACTCTTATTTGCAGAATAACAGTAATTGCATACTATTGTATTACTACTTTCATTTTAAAGATCTGAATACTACTTTCACAACTGGAAACATTAAATGCATTACACTAAAAGTCCCAGACTAACAGGTTTAGTGTGGCCAAAAACCAAACACTTGCAGTTACAGTACATTGTAGATGCAGTCATGCTCAATCCATTATGAAATTCACAAATGAAAACAGGGGTGTTCATATTTCTTTGGCATAAAAAAGACTCACCTTCTATGCATCTCTTACTAGATTCTGCAGACCTAAAAATCAATATAAGTATTTGAACAGGGAAAATAAATCCATCACTTAAGTTCATCCATCATTTAACTCTCACATTATAATCTTACCTCATTAAGATGTGATCACTTCCATTTTTTAACAGGATTTCTTTTTTCAGGGGCTCAACAAACATAACCTGCTTTCTCATCGTTACTTATGTAGGACCTAAGTGTCCTGCATGTTCATTTCTGAGGAAGAGTCGAAGTCAGAAGAACCTTTAAAATATTTATTACAACCTTGATGAAGAAAAGCAATTACAGAGCTCTGGGTTCTTTCTCTATCCGAGGCCCTGATTCTAAACACTTACAATCCTGAATTTCTTGGTCAATTTATCAAAAAGGTTGCTAGCATCTGTATCAGGTCAGTATTTGTTGCAGTCAGCAGGGGCTGTTACTGTGAAATGAAGCCAGTGCTGAAATCTGATGCTATTGCCAGGGTTCCAGTTACAGGGCAGAGGTCTAACAGACTTGAAACCAGTGTGTTCTCATCTCAAATGTGAAGTAAAAACTAAAGCCACTTTGTTTACACACTTTATTGAGCATCATGTCCAATATACATTGCATTGACACAAAATGGAAAAACAAATGTCAAAAAAAAAAAAAATTTAAAAAAAAAAAATTATGGCGTTAGGGTGGATTACCTGGACACACCATTTTCAGAGCGTATTGCTTAATGACATTTCAAACGCACCGAATCTGTGCAAATACAGTGAACACCGGTCAGAGGAGGTCATGGTAGGTTAGAAGATTTAGACTTAAAAAGGTAATGTCAACAGCAGTTATGTGATCATCAAGTCTACAGAAATCTACTCACTGTACACATCACATTCACCCAGAACATACTAACAGTACCCTATTAAACAAACCCAACTCCTCCCAACCTGATTGCATGCGCCAAAAGATGGTTAACTATTTTTCACTGTCAGTCAGAGATCAATCAGGAATAACATAATTCAAAATAGATATCATGGCTTAATAGTAAGCAATACTATAAATGCAAGTTAACACAAGTTGGTGGTTTCCAGACTCCACGTGTATTCTCTAAAAATAAAACTGACATGCAGGGTTGTGTTGGCGAGTTCATTTCACGTCTGGAATGGTGATAACCGCAACATGCAAATATGCACCAAACAGAACTGAATATGTTGGCAGAATAATTCTTCCCAAGGTCCCCACCGAGTCTTAACCCACAAGTGAATGTGACTTATACATCATTTACTCACACACTGACCAAAAGCCAAATGTGCCAAAGTTAGAACAACTAACCTAATTCTACCATGGAACCCCTAAAATTATCCATGTTAATAGATTAAGAACTCAACCATATTTTGTCCAAATTTGATACCATTTGAAACTGAGGTAAGCTCCGACACCAGTGAACCAGTACGCATGTGGAATAATCATAATCACAGCTTAGGCTGTTCTTGGTTGTCCACAATTTATAATAATGGTGTGAAAAGACAGTACACTAAGTGATAATAGACATCTTCACTGACTATGAAGACTACAGGAAAGGGTTCAGACTATCAGAGGCCTATCTTAACCCTCCACTGCTAATAAAGTTGATCCTGAGAAGTTGGCACAAACCTTCTGTTAGCATTAGCTATGCTGTACAGGTCAGTATGTTGGAACAATAACTCTCAAATCACTGAGCAAGCCATTCTGTTTACTAGCAATAATACATAACAGAGCTGTATGGGGAGATCATGCAGGTTTGAGAGTCACCGTTTTACATCTCTACGACACACACTAGCATAAGAAGAAAATGCTAACAGGAGGCTATTTCTCAGAAAAACAGACTAAATGTTCCCAACCTGTGAGGCTAACAAAAGGCAACAGTGATTCAGTGACAGTGTTGAAATTAATCACATCTACAGACAGAGATTTCTTGGGCTGATATTAAGCTGGTAGCAAGTACACTATGCAGCAGGGAGGACATAATGGTAACAGGTTTTCGTTTTGTTTTACACAATCTTGACCACTGAATTGCATAAGAAACCTGGTATAAAGTAGAAACTGTTCAGCAGCAGATAAAAAAGCAAGTTAATTTACAGTAGTGACATATCTTACAACAGTATTTTTTTTTTCCCAAAATAAATAAAATTAAATATACAATTCCAGGTAGGAAACAGGTTAATTTCGCTGGTTTTTTTTCTTTCACAGAAATGTGGTTTGAAGCCAATCGATTTCTTTGACTGGCAAAACAAGGGGTGCAAAAGCCTTTTGCTGAAACTTTCCCTCCAAAGGCATTTCCTTACACTGAGGGGGGAAACAAACATTATAGTGACTATTAGTTCCAGAAGCAAGGGTTCGCATGCAAGTCTTAGCCAAAACAAGTCTAATGTACTCACCCTGGAATTTACAATTGACTCCTAATCGAATGCCATCTCTTGACTTTTTCTTACACAGCGGGCCACCTTCCTCTTGAATTCACCATTAGGGTCCTCCCTCCACTCTTTCTGTGGGAGCAACATCAGATTCATTTAATGGAACATCCTCCATTTACCTAAGCTGCTAGGATTACAAAAATGAACAAGGGATCTGTAGTGCCAGGGAAACAAGATAAGAAGTGTAACTCACCGCAGCATCAACGTTAGCTGGTGAATCGCTGTTGGGGTCTGCCAGCATGGAGATAACACTAATCATGATTGTCTCTACTGTGTGGATCGGAAGCCAGCGCTCCTCAGGCTTTTCATAACCAAATTTATCTTCTCCTGGCTCATGCAGAATCGAGATGCAGACATCTCCGTTCTTTGCAACTGAATTTTGCAAAAGAATTGGAACATGGATTTAACAACAGATGTAACGTGAAGATGACCATGGTTAGAGTTAAACCCCAAACCAGGATTACACTGCTACTCAATCACAATAATCTCCAAAACATTTTTAAAAAGTGGCATTCGAACACCATTTACATGTCCAGAACCAGAAAGAAAGTGATCACAGTTTAGATTTGAAGTAAGGACAAACAAAAAAAAATAAAAAAAATAAATAAAAAATCATGTTTACCATTTGGGTGCCAGATTTCAGTGATGAACTTCATCTTTGGAGGCCGTAGTGGATAGTCATAGGGAAAGGTTAGGTATGCTTTGAAAAACCCTCCTTCACTGTAACAGTGACAAAAGACAGAGCAAGGACAAATGAGACATTTTGAAATTAAATATAGATAGGAAATTAAATATAGATATGAATATATATACAGTCAAGAACAGGTTGTCGCACTGTTTGCAACTTCCTGGTTTTCTGCATCAATTGGTCATGAAATGTGGTCTGATCAAAGTCACAACAAAAAATATTTCTAAGCTGATAAAACAATCATGATCTTTCATGCCTTTATTGAACACACCCATTAAACATAAGAATGGTGGAAAAAGCATTGGCAGTGTTTTGATAACAGGCTGAACCACTTTTGGCAGTGATAACCTCAAACAAGCCCTTCCTGTAGATGTGGATTAAACCTGCACAACATTCAGGAGGAACTTTGGACTATTCTTCCTCACAGAACTGCTTCAGGTCAGCCATATTCTTAGGACATCTGGTGTGAACAGCCCTCATGAGGTCAATCCACAGCATCTCTACTGGGTTGAGGTCTGGGCTCTGACTGGGCCACTCCAAAAGATGGACTTTGTGCCTCCAAAGCCTTTCTGTGATAGACTTACTTAAATGTTTAGGGTCATTGTCCTGCTGCATCACCCAGCTTGTTCTGAGCTTCAGCTTGCTGACAGCCTCCAGTTGATGTTTAGTCACATCAGAAGCCAAGTGCTACTTTTTCCACCATCACTTTGTAAGTCTAATGGGTGTGTTCAATAAAGACATGAAAGACCATGACTGATCATGACTATATATTGTGTTTAATCAGCTTATAAATATTGTTTTTGTTGATATTTGTGACTTTGGTGAAGATCAGATCACATTTCATGACCAATTTATGCAGAAATCCAGGAAATTGCAAGCAGTGCCACTATTTTGTCTTACAACTATACACACACATACACACAAACACACACTGCCATCTACATACTTTCTCACTTACAAAAGGGTATCTTGTGGACCAATGATTACAACTTCCCATTTGTATATGTCGTCATCATCTATCAGACCAGCTGAAAAGCCCTCCACAGGATTCTTGTTGAGCTCTGGGGAAAGAAGTGTACAGTGTATATATTTATTTTTTTATAAAATGAGCTGGTGATAGCTAACGATCTAATAAACCAGCTGTTCAAGCCTGACAAATAAGCACACATAATACTTTATTCCATTCGGTTTTATAGAGTGTTTTAAAATGTACTTAATTCAATCTCTAATCAACAGAAAACCTTAACCTGTCAAAGTGCAAGATAAATGCGTCTGATTTTTCATACAGCATTAAAACCAAAGTTAAAACGAAAAGCAAACAATGAAGACGACTTTGGTCTAATTTTAAAAACTGCCACAACAGCAGAAAAAAAAAACTGCTTCTGCACAGTAAGTTGAGAACAAAGAAAACAGTGTAATGAATCTACACTGGACTCACTGACATTGATGAACCACGTATTATGGAAGGTATATGTAAATCTAAAGTAGACCAGATGTTTTTGCTTCCTTTCTTTAGCAGATGATACATATTCTGCCATGAAACAGCTGCAGGAAATGTCTCAGTTGAAGCGGCTGAATTAGCAGCCCCAAACAGCCTGTAGGTGAGTGTATGGTTGTGTCTTTATGTGCCAGTCCTGAGGCAGACTGACGACTTGTCCAGGGTGTACCTTGCCTCTTGCTCGGCTGGGATTGCCTCTGAGGCCTCCATCCTACCCTCTACAGCAGGGGGGGCCAATTCCAGTCCTCGAGGGGCACTGTCCTGCTTGTTTTCCAACTATCCCTGCCTGACCTGCTGCTGATTACCTGGCTCAGGTGTGTTCAGCCAGTCAGAAACAGCAGGACAGCGGCCCTTGAGGACTGGAATTGGCCACCCCTGCTCTACAGGATACGCAGCAGAGATAATGTATGAAGGAATGGACTACCATAAAATTTTTGTATGTAAAATGGGTGTGTCAAAACAATTTCCAGCATTAATACTGACTAATGGGCTTTAAGCAATCCTCTAATATAAGTTCTGTTTCACCAGTATAGGCTGCATACAATCGATCTGTATTTAAGAATAATAGAAGTTTGACAACCCAGTTTTATGGAGCAGTCAAGGTTTAGTAACATGCCATAATATTTAGTGAGGCAACAGAAACATTACCTTTTGTGTCTGTCCGTTTTATGTTTAACAAACAATTTTGTCAATTTTTAACTTTGTAGCAGAATACACAAGTCTCACAACCAACCCCAATCAGAAAAGGTTGGGACAATATGTAAAATAAAAACTGAAAATAGTGATTAATGTGTAAATCATCTGTGTCCTGTATGACGCAGAGAACACAGCAGCACATTATTTGATGTGATACCTCGTCAATTTTATTCTTTGTTCAAAATAAACTCACTTCAAATCTGATGCTGCAACACATTCCAAAAAAAAGTTGAGGCAGTAAAACATTTACCAGGGTGTGATGTTTCATTCCTTTTCACAACACTTAAACAATGTTTAGGGACTTTGTGCAGTGTCTTGTTGAATATGCATGGGTGTCTCTGGAAAAGATGCCGTCTTGAAGGCAGCATGTGTTGCTCCAAAGTCTCTCTGTATTTTTCTGCATTAATGGTCCCATCACAGACGTCTAAGTTGCCTTTGCCAAGGCACTGACACAACCACAGACCATGACAGACCCTGGCTTTTGGACTTGTTGCTGGTAACAGCCTTGATGGTCGATTGTCCTTTTTGTCTTTGGTCCAGAGCACACGGCGTCCATTCCTTCCAGAAAAGGCCTGAAATGTTGATTTGTCTGACCACAGTACACGTTTCCTCGTCTGACTACAGTACACATTTCAATGATGGAAACGTGTGATGGTCCATCCCAGATTAGTCAACTGTGCTTCTGGACACTGTTGACACAGGGCTTCCTTTTGGCACAGTACAGTTTTAAGCAGCATTTAAGGATGCAACTACGTACTGTAGTGCTTGACACAGGTGTGCCAAAGTAATCCTGAGCCCATGTGGTTGTATCGCCTATAGAAGAGTGACGATTCTTGACATAGTGACGTCTGAGGGATCAGAGAGCACGGTCATCCAGCTTAGGCTTGTGCCCTTTATGCACTGAAATCCCTCCATAGTCTTTGGATCTTTTAATGATGCTCTGCAGCGTAGAGGGCGACATATCCAAATCCCTTCCTATCTTTCTTTGAGGAACATTGGTTTTAAACATTTGAATAATTTTCTCACACATATGTTGCAAACTGGTGGTCCTCGGCCCATCTTTGCTCCTAAAGGGCTCGGCCTTTCCTGGATGCCACTTTGTACCAAATCATGATGCAGTCACCTGTTGACATCACCTGTTTCAAATGGAGTCATCATTTCATTGTTTTACCTCATTACTGGCCCTGAAATGCAGCTGTCCAGCTTTTTTGGAATGTGTTGCAGCATCAGAATTGAAATGATTGTTTATGTTGAACAAAGAATAAAACTGATGAGGTATCAAATCAAATAATGCAATAATGTGCTGCTGTATTGTTTTCAATGTAATACAGGACACAGATGATTTACACATCAATCATTAATTCTGATTTTACATGTGGTCCAAACCTTTTCAGATTTGGGGTTATTAAGTGCAAGTCTGATCAGTCATTATAAAGTTTGTCTCATGTTTCTGAATCAAATCTTGGTTTGCAAAATTAATGACTACTGTTGAAGTGAATCGCCCACTTGAAGAACTGAGTCAAATCAATCACTGTGATTCAACATCCTCCCCACACACAGAGAAACCAAAATTAGCATATTGTACAATCACTGCAATATGCTAAACCAGTCCAGAGTGGGATTCTGGTTTGTCTATTTTTTAAACCATTGGGTGCACTGGTGGAGGGCTGCTGTCATTTTAGCACCACAGGAAAAACCAATTAGCCTAATTACCACAGTAGTTCCAACTTTACAAAAACATCACTTTGATTACTGTTGTACATGTGACACGTTGTGTCAAAAGACTGATATGATATATAAAAAAATGTATATTAAATAACTTATACACAAATATATGGCCCAGTCATGTATGCAGCCGACAGACACCCAGACAACTTGCCTACCATTCAGCTGCAGACCAAACTGGACATCAGGTCCATGTGTGTGGCATTAATAAGTAAGACACCACTGCCACAACCACCGGTAAAAATACTGGTGGTGACTGTCCAAATAAGCCAACAGGAGAACAATAACAGTTTATTCACTGAGGGCTTGAACATGCGCATCCCTTCTAAAAGCCGCTAACAATCCAATATCACCTGATTTGACATCTTAAACGTTAGCGTTATACGTTATCTTATATAAAGAGATGGCGACTTTGTAATTTCAGTATAATTGCTACTGTTAAAGTAGAATATGTTTTCTATGAAAAGATTGGAATTTATAGAGCTATCTCTAGCAAAGCTAAAGTGATTAGAACAGATGAGTCCCTGGATTGATTATTCCTTTGTTCCGTCAGCTAACTAACGATAATGTCGAACTTGCTATCCCGTTAGCAAGGTTTGCGTTGGGATTCAGTGCTGGTTCAAATATTATGTTATTTGAGCCACGTATACCTCAAAATATATACCATTATTTCCATCAGCTTCTCAGAGCAGTTTAGCAACATACTGAACGGCAGGGATAAAGGAACCCATTATGGTGCTTGGTTAGCTTTCTGAGCTTACCCCTACTGCGTAAACATAGCTTTGCGTAGCTAAAAAAGCTAACGTTAGCTGCTAGGTATTAGCCCTTATATCAACTGTATCTACTTACAGTTTTGTGTCCATATTACCTGCCAATTGTTTTCGAAGAAGCAGTGCTGATTGCTCGGTCATGGTACGCAGACGTAAATAATAAACACTTTATACCGACAAATACGTTCTGAAAAGCAGAGCGAAAGCTCAGGTCGAAGTGAGATCTTTCACTGCCTGCTGCTGGTTTCCCTCTGTGTTTTGACACAAGGCTTAGCGGCTGGCTTTAGCTGTGCGCATGCGCGTTAGCAGTCGACTGTGTATGTCTTCGAGGCAACGTTTGCTGAGAAATAATCGGGCAATAAACTAGAAACCATTCTCTCCAACCCTCCTCTTCAACTTCCCCGACTCACATCATTCATGAGTGATATGTAATATACTGGTTCCCAGAGAAGGTGGTCCTCACTGGAGAAGGTTTTCATGATGAACAAGTTAAGAGAGTGTAATAACCTTTGGTCCTCTGGATCAATGTTAATTCTTTAGTGGTGCATTCACAGGGTGGACCTTTATGAAATAATTCAATCTGGGGATTGTTAACTTTTTATCTATATAAAGATAATGCAGTTTTATTCCCACAGTATGGGACATCATACTGTGCTGTATTATGTCTCACTTATCTGCAAAGGGATGATCGTTATGTTTTTGGATAATAGTTATATCATTTCGGGGATCAATTGAAAAATAGGCAGTCTGCGAGGAAAAATAAGGTGCATGGTACTGCTTTAGATCACTAATAATGTATAATAATAATAATAATAATACAGTCCTACACAGTATATAAAATAAAAGGAGTAATTTCAATTCTTTTAAAGGATCATATTTATGTCATGCATTTTAATAATGAAAATAGGTATTGTGAAGCTGTTTAGCAAATTTGTTGAGTTTTGACTGGTTTAATAGTTGTCCAAAATCAATGTGAAATTTGGTAGCTTTAAAGTTCACTAAGAATTATTGCTACAGAAAAGACAAAATATGTGTTCATCCCTATTGGAGCACCGGCGATCTAACTAAGCGAATAAGAAAGTTTTAATTATCTTTATTCATTTATTGTTTATAAAAAATAAGCAAATAAAGTCAATAAATACTGTATTTATAAGCCAAATTCGCATAGTTCCTGAAGATAAAGCATTTACGGGTATCGTTGTTAAAAGTACAAACTTGTGGAGAGCACCTGAAGCAAGCAATATACGGAAGGAAGGTTGTTCGGCGCCATATTTAATACTCCAGAAGCTGGTTAGCGTTAGCTGTTTACAAGCACAAACTTTAAGCTGAAGACGGAAACATAAAGCACGATCTCAACTCAACCGAAAATGAATGTAATAGATCATGTACGGGATATGGCTGCTGCTGGGCTTCACTCTAATGTCCGGATATTGAGCAGTCTTTTGCTTACGATGAGTAATAACAATCCGTAAGTAATATCAGAGCGGGGTCGTCTATTTCCTGAAGAGTGCTTTCCTACACCAAGATTTTGTGTTGTCAGCCTGCGATAGTAATAGCAATAGCCCAAAGCTAACTGGTCAGCAACAGCAAATTTTAAGTGTTTTAACCGTAGAAACCGAGGTTTTAAATTGAAGATGGACAAAGTACTGACCCCAGGATATTACATTAGAAGGGGTTTAATTCACATTTTCAAGCTGACACAGCATACGCGGTCTTCCAAGAAATAGTCATATGTTGAATCGCTTTCGGTTATTGGTGACTGCTATTAGCGGTTAGCTTGAACTAGTGGGAATTCAAACGATCAGCGAATGTGTATACAGGAGGGCAAGATACACATATTGGGGATACCTTGCTTTGTGCCTAGTGCATAATTTTATTAGTGTAGTGTGGCAGAATTTTAAAAACTGGTTGTGTAACAGTCGCGCTGTCAAAGTTGGAGTACAGTTTTTTATGATGCAGCTCAGCAGCAGCTGAAGCAGGATGTTTCTAATGTTATCTTTATACAGAATCCTTGGATTCCTCTTTACGACCTTGTGCTTTTGGTCAATAGTCACTGCCTCTGTTTGTTGTTATGGGCTTCACGTTGAGAATGTAATTCATTATTTTGGTTGATTGTAGATTTTATATTTTTTTTATTCAGCTTTTCTTCTGTATTTTGTTACTGGACGAGATCTGCGCTCTTAGTATTTCAGCTAACTTAATAACCAGCCTTATTTGTGCAGTTCAGAGCTTTCTGTATTGTGTCAACTCTGATTCTTATTTTGCTTTTGATTCAAGCGACCTGTTCTCACCAGCCCAAAAATACCAGCTGTTGGTCTACCATGCTGATGCCATCTTCCATGATAAGGAATATCGTAATGCTGCCTGCAAATACAGTATGGCACTGCAACAGAAGAAGGTGCTCAGCAAAACATCTAAAGTTCGTACTTCCACTGGTGGAGCTGCATCCAACATACAGGCACAGGTAAGTGTTATAAAACTATTCTGTTTTCAAGTTCAGGTTGAAACTGTCATGCATCTCTGCAGATTCCGTAGAGACTGTAGCATGACACAATAATTTAATAAATATGAATAAATATGTTTTCATTGCTGTTTTGATATTATCATATAATGTTTTGTAGTTTGAAGCACACTCAAACCTCCTTGATGTAAGGCATGTTTTTTCACTTTCATATGTGAGAAAGTAAAATCCTGAATCACTGAGTGATGACAGTGCCCCCATCCACAGGCACGAGGAGTCACTGAATAGGTTGATGAGGATGAAAATGACATGAATCATATGTTGTGACCTTCACAGTCACTAGACCTCGACCCAGCTGAACACCTATGGGAGATGTTGGAGTGATGTGTTAGACAGTGTCTCCACCATCATCATCAAAACACCACGAGGGAGCAGTGAAGCTGTTCTGGTGGCACGTGGTGGCCCAGCACATTACTGAGACACTTTATGTTGGGTTGTCCTTTCATTTGTCACCTTTCCGTATTTATAACTCAAGAAAACGAGATGTTCAAATGCTGATAAAAAGAGACTAGATGTTTTTGCCCTGCTCATCACTGATTGTGTTAAAGTCCCACCTCCCAGATATCAAACACCACCTTTTCTGAGAAAATCCATCCAGCCATCCATTTTCCTCCGCTTATCCGGGACCGGGTCGCGGGGGCAGCAGTCTAAGCAAAGATGCCCAGACTTCCCTCTCTCCAGACACTTCCTCCAGCTCCTCCGGGGGGATACCGAGGCATTCCCTGGCCAGCCAAGAGACATAGTCCCTCCAGCATGTCTTGGGTCTTCCCCGGGGCCTCACCCCGGTGGGACATGCCCGGAACACCTCCCTATGATGGCGCCCAGGAGGCATCCGAAACAGATGCCCGAGCCACCTCAGCTGGCTCCTCTCGATGTGGAGGAACAGCAGTTCTACTCAAAGATAGGGTGAGGAGCTCAAAGGTTGCACCCAGCCACCCTGCGGAGAAAGCTCATTTCGGCAGCCTGTATCCAGCATCTTGCCGTTTCGGTCATGACCCAAAGCTCATGACCATAGGTGGGAGTAGGAACGTAGATCGACCAGTAAATCGAGAGCTTTGCCTTGCAGCTCAACTCCTTCTTCACCACGACAGAGTGGTACATCGACCGCATCACTGCAGAAGCTGCACCGATCCGCCTGTCAATATCCCATTCTATCATTCCCTCACTCC